ATCATAAAATATAAATTTTAAAAAAATATAAATAATACAACAGAGTTTTTTTATAACAATTTTTAATTTATTAAAAAAATTATTTTACATTCTTTTAATTTTAGGATTAATTTTTTTCATATATATATATATATATATATATATATATATATATATATAGAGAGAGAGAGAGAGAGAGAGAGAGAGAGAGATTATTTTAGTTTTTAAAATCTGAAAATAGATTTTCAGAATATAAATATTCATCAGCAAAATAAATTAATCCTTCCTAATAATTATGATTTTGAGGATTTGGATATGATTTTTTTTTTGTTTTATGAAACGTCTTATTCCTAAAATAGTGTTATTATTTATTATGATATACGAAGTGATGTTTTTTATTTATTATAGAATATATTTTAAGTACAAATTTATATATCTAAATAAATATGACATGATGAAAAAATCGTGTTTAAATAGCACATGTCTATAGGTCCTCACTGGTACTGAAAGTTGTTTAGATTTAGACGTTTAATGATGAGTGAAAAAAAAATAGATAAAGTTAATTATACTATTAAATATTTTACTATTAAAGGAAAATAAATCTTTCTAGAAACCTATGTATTTTAAAATGAGTGGTTGAAATCAATTTAATAACTACGATTCTTAATGAGTTTAAGCTCCTTTTCTATGTTTTGTTTATTTGTTGGGCTTTGCCATCCTTTAATATTTAAAAAATGAAAAAATATTTTTGACAAAATACTCTGTTGTGTTTGTGGACAAGATTTGTCAATATAAAACATAATTTATGTTTATATAAAAATTGTAACATAATTAACAAAACAAATTATAGGAAATAATCTATAATGAAACTAATTTAATTACAATTAAAAAGGTAATTTATTTCATAATTAATTATTATTGTTATTATTAAAAGATAACTTTTTAAAACAGTTAGTTTCGTGAAGAATAAGTTACCCTTTAAGATCATTTTCGTTTGATTAAAATATACAATGAAAACAATTTTTCCATTTTTGTGAAATGTTACTATACATTCCCAAATTTTCTACAATTCTTCCAATATAATTTGTCGCGTAAAATTAAAATGAGAGGTGGCCATAATCATGATCCAAATTCTTTTCATCGGTTCTCTCAAACTTTAAGGAAAGCAATGTTTTCATGCTATCACTTTCTAATGGTATACGGACCTGTAATCAAATTGGTGCACGTATAAATATAGGATTTAAAGGATGAATTAAGGTTTAATGGAAAATTAAATTGAAATTAAATCGAATTAAATAAAACAATATATTTTAATAATATATTAAAATTATTCATAATATAATAATAACAAATCCAATCCAATATAAATATTATTTGAAAAAAATTATATAATAATAAAAATATTTATAAAATAGATGATGAATAAACATATAATCAAATACTTAAAATATAAAATAATTAGAGAAAAAAATTGTCCCTCGTTTAACTTGAAAATAATTAAGAAAATAAGCTATAATTTAAATAATTAAAAAAAAAACTACATCTAACTTAAAAATAATTAAGAAAAAATTTGCAACTTATCTTTTATTTCATCTAATTTTAAATTTTATATATTTTATTTTATTTCAAAGCACGATTATGAAACCCAAAAATAACTTACTACCCATTTATCAAATTAATTTTTGAAATTAAGATATTATGATTCTTATATATTATTATATTTCAATGAATAATTATAATAATAATAATGAAAGAGACAATCAAAAGTAAGAGTAACAAGAACGAAAACAATAATAAAAGAACAAAGTCACCACTAAAAAAAATAACTAATTTTTTTCTTGTCAGTATGTTAATTGATTTTTTTGATTTTTGATTGATTATCCCGTTGAACCGGTCCGTTGGTTTTAATAACCATGTCCTAACCACATTATTTACTTAAATTAATTTTCATTTTTCCTATGAAAAGTATATGAAATAATGGGCAGAACCATTGAAATAAAAAAATATCTTTTGCGAATTGATGTTAAATAGTTGAATATAGTCATAAGGGGTAACTAATAAATCTTTAATATTATGTAAGTTTTTATTTTAAATTAATTATAAATAAAATTTATATATAATATTCAATGAGAGAGTTTAAAGACTTTAAACCAGTTTATATATTTATTAAATTACTTTATTTATTACTACGATAAAATCGAATATGATATACTAAATATTTGTTAATAAAAAAATCTTAACTAATTTAAAAAAAATATATAGCTTATATATATAATAAAAAAATTTACTTGAATTAATTCTAATATTTTATAAGTCGATTTTGTGAAAATAAATTAAATTAAAACAAATTTTAAACACCATTTAATATGATTAATTGTTGAATAAATTCTAAATAATAATCACGAGTGGTTTTTTCTTATACAACTTAATATGATTAAACCACGAGGGTATTGGGAAAAAATGTTTATGTTTATGTTTATGGCGTGGTGATAATATAGGTAATTAATTAATTTTCTTCATTAACACGTGATTGGTTCAAAATTTCTTGAACGTGATTAATAACTATTATCAATTTTCAGCCACAAGTACAATGTTTGGCGCCATTAATAACTGTTATTTTATTAATTAGCTTTCATTGAAAATAATATTGATCCAATAATTATTGAATACTAGACCATTACGTTACGTTAAACCTAACTCTATCATTTTGCTAGATATAAGCCCATTATGCTAAACCCAACTCTATTACTGTATTAACTCTTAATTTAATTCATAAACACATTAACTCTTGCTTCTATATCATTTTTACATTAATTTAAATTTCAAAGATTGTAAAATGTTCATTTTAATTATATTTTTATGTAAAAGAAAAATACAACATGAATGCATTTTATAAAAGTAAATATGTTTTTGGTTTTATTATTTTGATCTTATTTGGTCATAATTCCTGTATTTTTAAATTTAATTAATTAGTCTTCAAACTTTGAAAAAATTATTAACTTAACCATTTTATCAATTTTATAATGGTACAAAATTATTATTAAATATAAAATTTAAGTGTTAAAAAAATACTAAAATAATATACTACATAAACTTAGTCCTTATTTGAGTTTTGTTACTTATTAAAAAATTAAAATTTAGAAGGACTAAAATCGAATATTTTTTAATAGATTAAATTTATCTATTTAAAAGTACAAGAAAAAAACAAGTTTACATAAATATAGTGACCAAAAGTATAGTTTTTGTAGCATGTTAGTCATTAATAATAATGAATGTATTGAGAAATTAACACGCAATGAAATGAATGTATTGAGACGTGATTTTTCTGTTTTAGCTTTTACGATGATTTTTTTTTTTTTTTTTAAGATTCTAATATGTTTTAGAACTTATTTGTAAGGTGAAAAAAAGGTTTATTATTTTTAAATATTCTTATATTTTTAGGGAAAAAAACACATATTATAAATTAACTAATCATAATATTAAATATAAAGATATTTTATTTCATGAAAAAAGATTAAATTTTATTAAATATAATATTATTTTATTTTATAAATATACGATATTAGATTTATTTAATTTTAGAATGAAACTTTCGTATACATTTTTTTTGTATTAATCTTATATTTGATTTTATATTATGATATTTAATGTGTTGTAAATAATAAATAATTTTAGAAATATATAATTTTAGATATATATATATATATATATTATAAATTAATTTGATAAATAATTCATTTATTTTAAAAATAAATATAAGAGGATGTCTTTAATATTTATTTATTTTACTATTTAATAATTAAAATAAATTATTATTTTAGATAAATAAATCATTAATATAAATAAATGATGATATTAAAAAATAAATTTTTAATATTTATTTTAAAATTAAATATTTTTTATAATTTATATATTAAATTGTTATATTTAAAATAAAAATGAATTTTATTAATAAATTTAAATATATATATATATATATATATATATATATTATTAAAATAAATTTTTAATTAACTATTTTGATACAAACATATTAATATATTTTTTAAATTTTTAATCCAGTAAAAATTAACCTATTAACATATGATTAAACTATGTAAAAAAATTATAATTCGTTTGAAAATACAGGGGAAAACCAGATTATCAATTTTTTTAATAGTCCTATAGAAATAGGCCACATCGAACTGAAACACCATTCTATCAAAACCTAACTCTAATATTAAATAGAACACATATGAAATAATACATAAATAAATAAATACCCATACATTTAATATATTTATTATTCTTTATTGGGATATGATACTAAGAAGATATGATGTAGTTGTTTTTGTTTTGGTGGATGGAGATCTCCTCTTATTAAAAGTATGTACTTTGCACTTTATGTAACAAATACAAAGCTGAATTTCTAACATTTACCCTGTTTTCTTGGTACCCCATTTTTATTTTCTACAATTGACATACTTTTTGAAGAATACAACTCAGGTATAATAAATACATACCTAACAATTTACTATTTTTCAAATGTTACCATCATGAATCAACCAAAGCTCATTTAGATGCTTGCGCAGGACAGGTACTGTGGACCCCTCTACTCAATAATTCCACAATGTAACTTGAGATCACCACAAGTGTGCTTTCTTACTATTCCAAAATACCTTCCCACAATGTCAAATTAGTGAATCCCAAAAGTAAGAAGTTGGTAAGTGCTTACTTTTCTGCCAGGTCAGGGAAAATGAAAAGGTTACACAACAATCTGCATAAATATCATAATACTCAAAATCAGGCAGGGTGTCATGTGGATGATCCAATATCAAAATGTTCCTACACATTTTCTCATCAAAACTTAGCTACACCCACCTTTTCCCATGTCTTCCTATTAATTACCCTTTTTTTTATCTCCCTCATCAACCTTTCCCTCTACCTTATTTAAATGTCCACACAACTAGAATGCTTCTCTCCAACCTGTTAAATTTAAGCCGAGTACCTCAAACCTTTGTCCAACAGCAGCAGCAACATCAATGGCAAGAAAATCTTTAGCCCGGTACTTGCTTTTGGGAATGGCTTGTTCCATAGTAATTGCTGCATATGAAGAGAGCTTGTCTCCTAGGACAATTTCTAGTGGCAACTATCATGAGGCAATACAAAGGTTGCAGTCATTTAAGGCCTCTCTAACTACACCTGATTCCTTTGCCTCAGCACCATCTTCCTTGTTATCACCCTTCTCAAGCCCTTCTCCTGCTCCTGCTTCTGCTCCTTCTCCTCACCCACACCAGGTAATTCAACTATGCACACACCCTTTTTTCTTTTGTGGGAAAATATCAAGTGTTTGATATTTTGTGCATGCAGGGTGTGAACTATTCACGAGTGTACCATGTTACGTCTTATGGTGCAGATCCAACGGGTAGTTCAGATAGCACTGAAGCACTCCTTGCAGTCATAGCAGATGTTGCCACGGGTACTAGTGAAGGATACCTGATGCAAGGCATCAGAAACCTTGGAGGTCCCCAAATTAATCTTGAGGGTGGAAATTACTTGATCAGCCAGCCACTGCGGTTTCCGGTGGCCGGAGTGGGGAACCTTATGGTATGTATGGCAGTAGAAACCGTTCTAGTTGTTAACTTCATTCACCAACAACTTTTTCTATGACAAATATGAAAAGTATCTTCCAAAGTTTGTATGTTCATTATTTTTTGCCAATTGGCACTTTGTGAGTGTATTGTAAGACTTTATAGCTGGGCCAAATTGAATCTTTGAGGCCGGTGGTCCATATTTTGGTCACGATGGTGAAGCAGTTCGTCTAACTTGACCAAAGAAATAAGACTATTGCTATGAAGTATTTTGAAAAATATCTTCCTTCTTCAACCGCTCCTTAATTGTCCATACTTTTTGTTCTTTCCTGAAATGTCTTTATTTTAACTTTAACCAATATATATAACAATAGATTGCAGAAAAGTCAAGGAAAACGGCACTTTTTTTCTATTTGTTTACCCAATAAGACATCCAAAAAGAGATAAAAAATTTGACAGCTCAGTTTGATTTTTGTTTGTATTTTGATGCAAAAACAGATACATGGGGGGAGTATAACAGCCTCAGATGGTTTTCCAGAAGATAGCTATATCATTGATTTGTCACCCCCTTCTTCTAATGGAGGAAACACAAATAGTTCTTCACTATCCTACAATTTTGAGTACATAACTCTTAAGGACCTCTTGTTGGACTCAAACTTCAGGGGAGGTGGCATTTCAGTCATAAACTCACTTAGGATTAACATAGACAATTGTTACATCACACATTTCACCACCAATGGAATTTTAGTCCAAGGTGGCCATGAAACCTACATCAGGAACACTTTCCTTGGTCAGCATATAACTGCTGGTGGGGACAAAAATGAAAGAGACTTCTCAGGCACAGGAATAAACCTCCAGGGTAATGACAATGCTGTCACAGATGTTGTAATTTACTCTGCTGCCATAGGAATAATGGTTACTGGTCAAGCCAATGCGTTTTCTGGTGTACATTGTTACAATAAGGCCACTGGTTTTGGAGGCACAGGGATTTATTTGAAACTACCCGGTTTGACACAAACCAGGATTGTGAATTCTTACATGGATTACACTAATATCGTGGCCGAAGACCCGGTTCAATTCCATGTCTCTAGTTCTTTCTTCCTTGGTGATGGCAACATTGTCCTAAAGTCTAAGAATGGGGTTATAAATGGTATTGATATTGTTGATAACATGTTCTCGGGTTCAAATAATGGGGTTGAAATTGTTCAGCTGGATCAATCCAATAGTCCTTTCCATCAAATTGAACAAGTTACTGTTGACAGAAACAATGTAAGAGGGATGAAGTTGAAGGCCACAGTTGCAAAAAGGTCCATGCAAGGGAATGGAACCTCATGGACTGTTGATTTTAGCAATGATCTGCTTTTTCCTAACCTTATAAAGAATGTGCAGTACTCTTTAAGCACCACTGGCAGTACCTTCCCCAATCATGTTCTGAGGAATGTGTCTGAGAATCGTGTTGTGATTGAAACAAATGAAGCAGTGTCTGCCAGTGTCTTTGTTACGGTGGATCAAAGTGAGACAAGTTGAAGAAGGTTGGAAGCTGGTGACCAAAAAGTTTGGTCTAGAGTCTTGACTCAAGTGGGAATTGTTTATACCGTAGTTGTGAACTCTTTCTTTCTTTGGATCAATTTAAAGTATACTGAACACTGCTACAGGCTTAGAACATTTAGATTGGCTGAGCCACACATTATTGTATTGTAATTGAATGAAAGGAATTGCATAGAAGATATACTTTTTTAACAGTTTGGTTTTTTAAAACTAGGCTTAGGACAGTAAGCTTCCAGCTAATAAAAAGATCAACCAAATCCATGAGGTGTAGTTAATTATCTGGTATTTGGCTAGTCATTTTCCCTTCTTCTATGGATTTGTCATCATTTATGATTTTATTTTTCTAAACCAAGGATGATTACCAAAATGATCTAAACTGAGTTTTCTTAAAAGCTACTGCCAAATTTAACAGTGATCAAGTGAACTTAATGCGTATGAATATTCATCCACAAGAAAATGAGTTTCTCACTGTTTTGGGGGCTGCATGTGACTAACTGGACAGAGAATTCAACCATGTTGTTCAAGCCTTGCAAGCCACGAATCAATAAAAGTACACGAGGCAATTTACACAAATGCTTTTCTTTTACGGTCAGCACTAAAATTGTTTGATTATTTTAATAACACTTCCTCCAGGGATAATGATTTAGTGGAAAAAATAATGATGACCACATAGAAAAAATTGTGTCTAGGAACTTGCAGGAGGCGTAGTTGAAAAGGTTAATGATTTTGAAGGGTCTAACATTGAATCTGAAGCTTTTGGTAGCAATATACATGGTGAACAAAGTCTTTGGCAGAAGCAGAGAAGGTGTAGAGGTTTGAAGGTTGAAACCGAAAATGACTAATCTTTGCTATTTTGAATTTATGGGGATGGCTTTTTTACTTTGTTTCAATTCATCTACCATGTTTTACTTGAGAATAATAACTTGAAGGAACATTTGACGTAAGTCAATTCGAAATTTCAACGTGAATTTCGTATGTCTTTTTTCCCTACCATAAGGAACCCTAAAGGATGAAACTTTGGTTAGACATTCAATTGGGATGGAAGTTATCAACATAAGCCAAATGGAGTGTGAAAGAATTTAAAGAATTTCTCATTAGCAACATCCTAGTACCACGTCGAATGTCAACAACAGTCCTTTTTGTACCCGTGGCAAAACATTTTAAAAGTAACCTTTTTACCAATATTTTTGTTAATTGAAATTGATCCTAATAAATTGTTTTTAAATGGAAATATTTTAAGTGAACTAATAATTATAAAAAAAATGAGCTATTTTATTTCTAAAGAATCTTACAAGAAAAGAGAAGGACGAATTTAGCAAGAATTTAATTTTGATAACTGTTGGAATAAATTTTTTATGTAATGTAAAATAGAAATTTACACATCAAATCCAATTTTCTAACGTAATTGTTATAAATACGATTAATTTTTAATTATATGACAATTCGTGAAAAAAAAACATCTATATGATGTGTTTTAATGGAACTCATTTTCCCAACAAAAGTTTTATGTTGTGTGTACAGAGTATAGAATCTAAAAATCTTAATCGCTTAAAAGTAAGGTTAGAAAAATTATAAAAATGTTCTTTCAAGAAAATTTCAACTATTTTTCTATTTTAAAATAAGCTTATTCAATCTATAAAGTGTTCTGTCTTTACTTAAAGAAAAGCTCCAAAAAGCTCAAAAGAAAGACTATGATGGCTACGTACTAGCCAATGGTTAATGATCTTTAGCCCCATCTTTTCTTCTCAACCCAAAAAAATCTCATCACTCTTTTGATACAATACAAGAAGGTTAATTATTGTATCAGGCAATCTGGGAAACAAATTTTGGATTTTAGTATTTTTTTTTTAATATAAACATTTGATTCAAATATATGTTAAAGAAACTTTAATTTTTTTGATTTTTTTTTTAAAAAGTGGATATGGCAAAAGAATACAAAAGGCTGTGCAGATAGTAATTTCCAAGTTTGAAAATTGACATGTGACCTGAATGAACTAAGTTGGCAATGGCAACCCCATCTTTGAAAATAAGTTGTGGTTTTAAACATGCACAAGATAAATCATATTTTCCAATACAAAAAATGTAAAAAGGACCAAAACTAAGATAGTACAAATAACACAAATCCAAAATGACTCACAAATACTAATATTAAAACAGTGGATTGGTTCAATTTCCATGACATGGTGCTCCCTCTATATAGGTTCCCTTGTAGAACTTGGTAGATCATGGATTTGAATATGGCACCACTGTTTCTCTTCTTCTTAAAAGAATCATCATTTTGCATTTCGTTGATAGCTTCGAACTTTGATGTAACATTTCAACCCTTTGTGTACAAAATGCTTACAATGTTGATGAACATGTCAAGAACTAGAAAACACACCTCCACTCCAGGTTAATGTTACTATGAACTTGGAGGTGACATCATAACCATCTTGTGTGAGAAACCAACATGCACCTAACTTGATCGTGTCACGTATTAAGAACTAGAAAAGAGGCTTCTCCTTGGAGTCCAAGCAAGCCAGAATGAAGGAAAAGTCCTTCACACCTATCCTTCATTCCATGACGTATCTTAGACTCAAACTCACGACCTTCCAACGCACGGTTTGGTACACTCTCCTACATCTCCAACCACGACCTTGATGTTTCACTCTCAACCTACCATTTCTTATAAAACCACCTTCTATTCAACTCTTCCCCACCACTCCGTAACTTTCCTTGCCTTGCCATGGCCTCAAACTCCATGGCTGGCTTCATCACCGGCTCTCATGCTCATTCCTCACGCGACTCCGATGGGGTATGTGTTCATCTCACGTGACTCATGTTCATGTTCATGTTGCATTATTCCTACGCACATGTTTCCCAACATTTGTTTAATATGCTTATTAACACGTTCCATGTTGTTGGTTACTAACACTAGTGCTTTTGTTCCTTTGCAGCATCATGCTCCTACCCGTCAACCTTCATCAAAAACATGTCGGGTTTGTGGTGATGAGATCGGATATAAGGAAAATGGAGAACTGTTTGTGGCTTGTCATGTGTGTGGATTTCCTGTGTGTCGACCATGTTATGAGTATGAGAGGAGTGAAGGAAACCAGAGCTGTCCTCAATGCAACACTCGCTATAAGCGCCACAAAGGTTAGTTTTTGTATGTATTATTGTAATGGAAGACTTTAGATTTAAATTCTTTCTTACGTGTTTTTTATTGTTTTGATTAAGATTGAAGTTTCATTTGGATAATATATATTAACATCTCGTGGGTGGGGATGCATGTTGTTCCCATAAAATTAGTGTTGTTCCATAAGATTTTTTCAAATGAATGTAAAAAAGTTATAAGAGCAATTACAATTGTAAAAACTTAAATATTTTGAAAAATTTCCATGACATTATGTATTTCTGTAAAACATTGTAATACTTTTTAGAAAATATGAAAAAATAATTTTTTTCCTCAACAAAAGAAATTTTTTTACCCGCCACTGCATCTAATGTGAACCTTTATTGTAACACTTGATTACTACTAAAATTCCAGTTTTGATTTGAAAATAACAGCAAAAGAATCTAAATTTAATTTTGTAAGTTTGTGATAACTTTTTGGTTTTGCCAAACTGTTGATGGTGGCTTCTGTGTAGGCTGTCCTAGAGTGGTTGGAGATGAAGAAGAGAACTTGGATGCTGATGATTTTGATGATGAATTTCCAATTAAGAATCACCGCGAAGATCTAGATCATGTGGTAATTTCTTTATACTTAACCAAGCTTCAAAAATAAGTGAAATGTGAAATTAATAATCTTTAGGTATCTCAACAAATGTGTTTGGCTAAAATGACTCAGACAATATTAGTATTGTGGTTGTTCCAGCTATTGAATGTGAATGATCAAAGAAACATTTTGTGATATTTTCAGGGAAATGGGGAGTATAATAAAGAGAAATTGCATCCCAATGGTCAAGCTTTCTCTTCAGCTGGGAGTGGTAAGAAACTTGTTAAATTGCTATTATCATGATGATGGTTTTTCTTTTTTGGGTATTCTCTTCTGTTTGGATGTTGATCTATTGTTCTGTAGTTGCTGGCAAGGATTTTGATGGGGACAAAGATTTCTACAGCAATGAAGAATGGCAAGAAAGAGTCGAGAAATGGAAAGTCAGGCAAGAAAAAAAAGGTCTTCTAAACAAAGAAGACGGAAAAGAAGACCAAGGTGAAGATGATGATTACATGTAAGTGATCTCTTCTATTGCATTTTCCAGCGGATAATAAAAGCCTTAGAATGCTTACATGAAATTTATTTCCTTATGTTTCTCTTTCATGGATACTAAATATTTTAAATGGAAACAAATTTATGTCACTTTACAGTTTGGCTGAAGCTAGACAACCATTGTGGCGCAAGGTTCCAATATCTTCAAGCTTAATCAATCCATATCGCATAGTGATTGTGATGAGGCTGGTCATCCTCGCTTTCTTCTTTCGATTCAGAATCTTAACTCCAGCAAATGACGCATATGCCTTGTGGCTAATCTCTGTTATATGTGAGATATGGTTTGCACTGTCATGGATTCTTGATCAGTTCCCCAAGTGGTTCCCCATCACACGTGAGACTTACTTGGACCGCTTGGCCTTAAGGTTTGAGCGCGAAGGGGAGCCTAACCAACTAGCTCCAGTTGATGTGTTTGTGAGTACTGTGGACCCTTTGAAGGAACCTCCCATTATAACAGCCAACACTGTCCTTTCAATCCTCGCTGTTGACTATCCTGTTGACAAGGTCAGCTGCTATGTCTCAGATGATGGTGCATCTATGCTTCTGTTTGATTCCTTGGCAGAAACTGCTGAGTTTGCAAGAAGATGGGTTCCCTTTTGCAAGAAGTATAACATAGAGCCAAGGGCTCCTGAGTTTTACTTTTCTCAGAAAATTGATTATTTAAAAGATAAGGTGCAACCTACGTTTGTGAAGGAAAGAAGGGCCATGAAGGTGGGGATATACTTAAAGATAAACAATTTGTTTTTGGTTTTGTTTTTATAGTCTCAATATGCATTAGATGCTTGTGGTAAAACTTGTTTGTTTGCTCCACTGAAGAGAGAATATGAAGAGTTTAAGGTGAAGATTAATTCTTTGGTGGCAAAGGCTCAAAAGAAACCTGAGGATGGGTGGGTGATGCAGGATGGAACCCCATGGCCTGGGAATAACACCCGTGATCATCCAGGAATGATTCAGGTTTGACTATTAAGTCCTCCAGTTTGCTCCTTAATTTATGTACTTTTCATTATCTTGTGATCAGGGAACAAAACAAAGTAAAACAGAAATACCTTCCATTTATGAATTATCAATAGCCATTGAATCATGCCCCCTTCCCTTTTGATTCTTACATAGAGCACAGATTTTAAAAGAAGATATGGTACCTATTTCTTACATTTTTTCTTCAAATGCCAACAAGATGTTAATTGTTGAAAAGTCTTATATTGCGTCTCTTAATTCCTAGGATGCAACTTATATAGCTATTGAGCAACTTCACTCAAATTTACTGGTTTTAAGATGAAATTTAGCCTACCATCAGAGTTTATATAGCCTGTCCCTATATCACACTTTGTAGGCAATGTGTTTGTTTGATTAATAGTTAGTATAAATTGATACAACTCATGGGCAACTGCACATATTGAAAAATCTAATATTAATATATGTATAAACTACATTCTCTTAATAGGGTGAACAAATGAAAAAAATTAGTGAGAGGTGAGAGGAATAATTGTTTTCAAATCAACTGATATGGCTCATGGACTTGCTTTGCAGGTATATTTAGGAAGTGCTGGTGCACTAGATGTAGAGGGAAAGGAATTGCCGCGACTTGTGTATATTTCACGTGAAAAACGACCTGGATATCCTCACCACAAGAAAGCAGGTGCCATGAATGCTTTGGTAAGAACAAACACTAGATATTATATTGTGTAGTTCTAGTAGACCAAAATATTAGAAACTGATTTTTAACTCTTATTGTTGTCTATCCTCCGAAGGTTCGAGTTTCTGCTGTGCTTACAAATGCACCATTCATGTTGAATTTGGATTGTGATCACTACATCAATAATTGCAAGGCAATAAGAGAGGCTATGTGCTTTTTAATGGACCCCAACCTTGGGAAGAAGTTGTGCTATGTCCAATTTCCTCAAAGATTTGATGGTATTGATCGCCATGATAGATATGCTAATCGCAACACTGTGTTCTTTGATGTAAGTAGCATTCTTCTAAAAACTAACTACACAATATGTGCCTTTCACTACCTGACCTTGAACTGTCTGTCTTAATTGTTGCATAGATCAATATGAAAGGGCTTGACGGGATTCAAGGTCCAGTATATGTTGGTACTGGAACTGTGTTCAACAGGCAGGCATTGTATGGTTATGATCCACCGGTATCTGAGAAAAGACCTAAGATGACATGTGACTGTTGGCCATCATGGTGTTGCTTTTGTTGTGGTGGTTCAAGAAAGTCCAAGTCAAAAAAGAAATCAGAAAAAGGTCTGTTTAGTGTATTCTCCAAGAACAAGAACAAAAAGAAAATGATGGGGAAAGACTATGTTAGAAAAGGATCAGGCTCCATGTTTGATCTTGAGGAGATTGAAGAAGGGCTTGAAGGGTATGAGGACTTAGAGAAATCATCCCTCATGTCCCAGAAAAGTTTTGAGAAACGATTCGGGCAATCACCAGTTTTCATTGCTTCCACATTGATGGAAAATGGAGGACTTCCTGAAGGCACAAATAGCCAATCATTGGTCAAGGAGGCCATTCATGTTATAAGTTGTGGCTATGAAGAGAAGACTGAATGGGGAAAAGAGGTAAAGCCATTAATCTCAAAACAATGCAACATTTGTATTCCCTTCATGCTTTTCACATTAGATAGGCTAATTAATACATTCTAGTTTAAACTATTCACTTGATCTTTATAGACGTCCCTACTAAGTTTGGTAAATGTGTTTCATTACAGATTGGGTGGATTTATGGTTCAGTCACAGAAGATATTTTGACTGGATTCAAGATGCATTGTAGAGGATGGAAATCAGTATATTGCATGCCAAAGAGACCAGCTTTCAAGGGATCTGCCCCAATAAATCTATCAGATAGGTTGCACCAAGTTCTGAGGTGGGCTCTTGGTTCTGTTGAGATTTTCCTTAGCCGTCACTGCCCCTTGTGGTATGGTTATGGAGGAAAACTTAAGTACCTAGAGAGGCTAGCTTACACTAACACCATTGTTTATCCATTCACTTCCATCCCTCTGCTCGCGTACTGCACAATTCCCGCTGTGTGTCTCTTGACAGGAAAGTTCATCATCCCCACAGTAAGTACAAAACAACTATAAAGCAAACAACTTACAGTTTCTTAGGTGTTTTTGGTGTTTCTCTCCAATTAGATATACTGACCTTTAATGCAATCCTATATTATGAAAATTACCATATAAAACAGTAATTTTGATTGGAGAATAGTACCAATACACCATAGGATGCATCTAAATTTTGTTCAACCAAAAATTGTTTGTGAATACTAAGATTGATCATTTGTTTTAACATATGATTCACATAACAATGAAAAGAAGAAAATGAAAGGAAAAGCAATAATGTTCCATTAGAAAAACATACTCTGAATGAGCTTGTTTTTTTGTTGTGTACAGTTGACCAACCTTGCTAGTGTTTGGTTTATGGCTCTATTTATCTCCATCATCTTAACAAGTGTGCTTGAGCTCCGATGGAGTGGTGTTACAATTGAAGCCCTGTGGAGAAACGAGCAATTTTGGGTCATAGGAGGTGTTTCCGCTCACCTTTTTGCTGTGTTTCAAGGTCTCCTCAAAGTTCTTGCTGGAGTAGACACGAATTTCACAGTCACAGCAAAAGCAGCAGAAGACACTGAATTTGGAGAGCTCTATCTCTTTAAGTGGACCACTCTTCTCATCCCTCCAACCACTCTTATAATCTTGAACATTGTTGGTGTTGTGGCTGGAGTCTCTGATGCCATAAACAATGGATATGGTTCATGGGGACCTTTGTTTGGGAAGTTGTTCTTTGCCTTTTGGGTCATTGTTCACTTGTACCCTTTCCTCAAAGGTCTCATGGGGAAGCAAAACAGGACTCCTACCATTGTGGTCTTGTGGTCAATCCTTCTAGCATCTATTTTCTCATTGATTTGGGTCAGGATCGATCCCTTCTTGCCCAAGCAAACAGGTCCAGTGCTCAAACAATGTGGGGTGGAATGCTAAGACTGTGTGGAGAGGCATGTGAATGCTCCAAACTCATTTGATGAGTAATGGCACTTGTGTGCATGATTTTATATTCTTATTGCTATTGAGTGGTTTGCTTTGATGAAAACAATTATGTGTACATAGTCTTCTTGAAGGAGAAAACTGAGTCTGATTGGAATGTACTCATTTCATGATACAACAAAACCATATACTATAACCATGTCATTGTTTGGAAAAACATATATTGAGTTTTGGTGCTAGTAGTTGATTTTTCATCTATTAGAACTTCATTCTTGAGAATAAGACTCTGTTTTTTTTTTTTTTTTGCCAAGTTGATATGAATCTGCTGCAGTGGATCAAAGCAAACTCCTAATTATCTTTTCACGTTATTTATGACTGAAATAATGATGAAATCCTCTGTTTTAAAACATTACTTGATCCTAGTTTTCATTTTACCATCAGATGGCACACCTACTTCACTAAAGTAATTAAATGATTAAAGACTTTTAGTAATTTTTAGGCTAAACATATTATTAATTTAGTTTTAAGTTAAACCATATGTATCATATAAAATTACCATATAAGAGAAAAGTGAATTTCCCTATTAATCTAGTTCCAAAGATATAACTTGTAGAGAAGTATATTTTGCATATTTATTATTAACAACTTGAATATTAAATTAGTCATTTTCTGGCTACGATTTCATACAATATGTACAAATATTTGTCAGCTACTAAGTATAACTTACTTTTTTTTTATAATTTCAAAATATAGAATAATTTTCTTGAATTTTATTTTATTAAATATGAATATTTGAATATTAATAAATATATATTTGTATATTGTTTTATAGTTATGTTTTTTTTATATTGTAAATATTAAAACAGTTAGAGAAATTAAATAAATAATTTAATATATTTAATATTTTTGTAATTTGATATTACTTTATTAATTTTTGTAACTCAAATATTTTTAGAATAAAATAAAATTGTATAATTAAAAATATTATATAATTTATATATCAATGATATATTGATAATTATTGAGAGAGAAAAAGTTATAAACAACTATAATATATTATCATAATAATAATAATAGTGTATAATAAATGAATTGATAATTAAAAATAAAAGAAAATAGTTGTCATTTAATTGTTTGTTTAGATCTGAGTTGTCAATTGATTTTTATTGATGCTTTGATGATGAAGCACAGTTATTTACCTTTCGGCATCCGTGTCTTCATAAAGGCTCATGGGGAACATGCAAACACAACCAATTCAATTCAAAAGTGTCTTAAAGTTCTATATCTACCCCTTCATCAGTTCCTCTCAATAAACTTCTCACAAACCAAATTCTCCACTGTAAATTTGTTTCCATCATCCAAAACTATGAGACTCTTAATCTTTGTCTTTCTCTTATTATTGGTACCAGCACAAGAAGCTACATGCTTCAACAAACATGCACCACCACCTTTGTCACATTTCAGCAACAAGTTTAAGGATAGAATGACCATTGTCAAGTCATCTCAACCACCCTCTGCATCTCCATCTACCAAAATGGTATGTCATGACAATATTTCTTGCTTTTTACTTATTCTATTGAGAAAATATAGAGTATATATATATATATATATATATATATATATATATATATATATATATATATATATATATATACATTCTTGCACAATATCAGTTTCACAGTGCACAAATTTTGGACTCAATGCAGAGAAAAAATGTTCTTTGTTTTCTTCTGACATTATTTGCATGGTGTTGATTTTGGGTATGAATTAGAGTGGGAGAGTGGTGTACCCAGTTGAGTATGGTGCAGACCCCAGTGGTGCACATGATAGCAGTGATGCAATTCTGAAAGCTGTTGGAGATGGTTTTGCAATTGAGAGTGAAGTTGAGTTGGTGGGAAGAGTTAGAGACCTTGGAGGGGTTGTGATTGATCTGCAAGGTGGAAACTACACAATCACCAAACCCATCCAATTTCCTTCTTCTGGGGGTGGCAATGTTGTGGTCAGCATCTCTCTCTCTCCTTCCTCTTTTCATGCTTCATTTTTTGGTATTCTTTGGTGTCATACTTCTATTCTCTTCTGATTTGGTGCTTATTGTCATTGAAATGTATGAAGCTTTCTTTAGCATGACACAAAATTGGGGAAAAAAAACATAACAAAATTTTCCGCAGAGGAATAAAAACCAACCATTACATTTTATTAAACTTAACAAAAAATGAAATAAAAATGGTAAAAGTTTGTTATTGTTTGCCACTTATAGTATCCATAAAAATTAATTTATTTTATTATTTCTTTAATAATTTATTATAGGGTGAGGGAAACTATATATAAGAAATTTTATTAATATAACAGGTAAAATATTTATTAAAAATATAAACAACCTTTATAAAATCTAACATATTAAGTACATATTTTAGTTTTTGATAAAACTTTAATACAATGAAGTGAATATTATTTCACCTTATTTGCTTTTAATATACATCTTTAAACATACATTTTAAACTTATTAGAACTTATAAATTGCAGTAAATTGAGTAAGCTACAAATAAAGTAGTTGAAAAAAATCACATATAATGTTTCATTTGTTTTACTACAAGTGCAAGGTGTTTCAATTTTTAAATCTCCATTTGCATAGTTTTGTCAAATTTTATCTAGAATATTTGAAGTCATTTTTCTTGTTAATAATGTTGCAGTCCTATGCTTAATCTTAATGTTAAGCATTTACAATTGATCAGGTAAAGGGGGGAACATTGCGAGCTTCTGATTCATTCCCCACTGATAGGCATCTTGTTGAGTTATGGGCGTCAAATTCACAGAAGCTTCCAAAAACATCAGTTTTCAACAGCATGAAACTTCGACAAAGTGATGGTGTTTATTATGAAGACATAACATTTAGAGACATTCTCTTTGATTCTGGCTTCAGGGGTGGAGGGATATTCATTGTTGATTCTGTGAGAACAAGGATCAACAACTGCTTTTTCCTGCACTTTGCCACAGAAGGGATTCTAGTTCAAGGTGGCCATGAGACATTCATATCAAGCACTTTCCTTGGGCAGCACTCAACAGTTGGTGGAGACAAAGGGGAGAGGAATTTCTCTGGCACTGCCATTGATCTTGCCAGCAATGACAATGCAATCACAGATGTTTCAATTTTCTCTGCAGCCATAGGAATTGTCCTTAGGGGCCAGGCCAACATGCTCACAGGGGTGCATTGCTATAACAAGGCCACAGGTTTTGGTGGCATTGGCATTTTGGTGAAACTAGCAGGGAATTCACAGACTAGAATTGATAATTGTTACATGGACTATACAGGTAAGGGTTATCATATTCATATACTCAATTCCACTTCTATCTCACTGTTTGTCACATCACAATTTTTCTCACTGTTTTTTTTTTTTTTCTATATCTCCTTGTTCTTCCATACAGCAATAGTGATGGAAGATCCAGTTCAAGTCCATGTCACTAATGGGTTTTTCTTAGGGGATGCTAACATAGTTTTGAAGTCAATTAAAGGACAAATTTCTGGTTTGAATATAGTTGACAATATGTTCACTGGGGACCCCAATAAAAAGGTTCCAATTGTAAGTCTAGATGGGCAATTCAGTAACATTGATCAAGTGGTGACTGATAGGAACAATGTGGCTGGCATGAGCTTGAGGTCAACAGTTGGGAAGTTAATTGTGGAAGGAAATGGCACAAAATGGGTGGCAGATTTTTCCAACATTTTGCTATTCCCCAATAGGATTAGGCACTTCCAGTACTCCTTTTACGCGCAAGGGGTGACCAAGTTTTTGGCACATTCTGTGACCAATGTGACTAAAAATGTTGTAGTTGTGGAAAGTGAGAAACCAGCTCAAGGGGTTGTTTCCTTCTTGGTTGAACAGTGAGTTGTATTGTACAGGCTTTTTGGTTTTGGCTTTCTCTGATCAATATTTGTGATTCATGAAAAGAAAGTAATACATGAGTTTCACTTATGAATGATTCATATTTCATGGAAACATGAATAATGTTTAGACTTTTTATATACAAGATTCAAATAACGTTCTTTTAGAAAAGCTGGTATAAAGACTGTAAAAAGAATAATAAGAGAAGAAAATCACAAATATTACTACTGTGGGGATTCTATTACAACTTCAATTGTTTTATATGTCGGTTTCTTTCTTGAAAATGTATGTTGCATTTACTTAAAGCTAAAATTAAAATTCACTTTAAAGAGAAACAAAAATGGAATTAGCCATAAAAAGATAAGCACTCAAATAATATCTTATGTATACCAGAAATTGGATTTATCTCTAACTTAATTCTACACAATCAACTTATAAAAAGAAGATTACTACCATTTATACACTATGAATTGGTCATATCTCCAACAATATCTAAAATTGAAATCATATATTAATATTAACATTACTATTATTTTTAAATATTATGATTAAGCTTAGGACCACAATATATTTGTATCCTTTGCGAACCTTATCTCAAGTACAATATGCTGAAAGTGAAAGCGACAGAGAGAGTTGAAAGTAGAACAGTTTGAGAGACAATCAAATTAATTCCAGCCACTAATCAGAATCATACACAAAACTATTTAAACACATAAAACTAGAAGTTAATTAAAGGACACACCAGAAAGAAATAAACAGCACCTGATGATCATGAACACAGATTATGAAAATTGTACAGAATTATCCACTTCAATGAATGATATCAGAGCCTCTATGTTAATGAAGTAATTAACTTAGACATATAGCACAAAACAAGAGTTTATACTTTGACTAACTAGAGATACAATCATTCACGTATCTTACTAGAGAACGAGTCCAAGTACACAAAAATCCTCAAGCTTGAAATTCATATCATGGAACTGAAGAAAATATGAGTTGCTTTTTGAGTGTGCTTTGAAACGCATAAACAAAAAGGAAGACAGTGGATTATCAACTAAGCGATATCCCATGTCCTTACCTTGCCCCACCAATTTCTCCACACTCTCTTCACTTACCATTCCACCACTCATTTACTGACTACTGTATTAGCTTTCCTTATCTGGAGGGTAAATGTAACTAGTATATATATATATACAAGATTGCTTTCAGCATACATTTCCTTAAGCTAGTGATGGTATGAGTCTAAAAAATTCTCCAACTTGATGGCTGAAACACACTCTCACACTCCCTTAGGTGCACCCACGATCAGCCCCATCACAACAACTAAACCATGCACCCCACCAGAACACAGCATGAATATGATGGTTGTTTTGGCAGCCATAGTGTGTGCCTTGCTTTGTGCTCTTGGTCTCAACACAATGTTGCAATGTGTGTTCCAATGTGCCAATCGTGTTCTCACGGAACCCCTTCAATGGATAGCCTCAAGAAGACTCAATTCTGGCCTCAAGAGGAGAGAAATGGTGGCTTTGCCAACCTCAACTTACACCCATTCTGGTGGCTCTCCGTCTAACTGTGCCATTTGCTTAGCAGAGATCTCTGATGGGGAGAAGATAAGGTTCCTCCCAAACTGCAATCACCATTTTCATGTTGATTGCATTGATAAGTGGCTGCTTTCTCACTCTTCTTGCCCAACTTGTAGGAACTTGCTCAAGTCTAGTGATTCACTTTACTCTTTGCGTATTGTAGTATCTTAGTTTGAATAATTATAGTGCATGTTGTAGTATCATACTTGATTAATTATGATAGTTGTTTAGATGAGTTTTTTTTCACAAGTAAGAAAAATAAATAAGTTTCTTTATTGAAGTAAAATTAAAATTAACTTATTCATAGGTTAAAAATAAGGTTTAAAGAAAATGTACGAACAAGCTATTATAAATTTTAGTTTATAAATAAATAATTTGGTCTTTTTTAGAAGTTTTGAAAAAGAAGGAAACATACCTCTAATTATGATTAGTACGAAGTAGACTTCTACGTGTTAAATGTATTTGTAATTGTAACTTAAAGTTTCAGTTTTTCATATTCAGATCAAACCAAATCAAAGTATACAATGTATACTAAACTCGTATTAATTTATGAAAAAAAAAAACTATTAACTTTTCCTTACTACCATCAAATGAACCTAACTTACAAATCTCTAAAACTGTAAATTTTTTACAACTTGTTAGTGTAAAAAATTTGCACTGCGAATTAATTATTAAAAATTGTTATCTATATAATTTCAATGCTATCATTACAAAATTAAAGTTAAAAATACATGCAGCTTATAAATTAAATGATTGCGTATAAACTAAAACAATCTAAAGTTTTCATTGTTCTATAATATTTTGAATAGTCTCTATTGCCATTTTGTACCAGTAAAGTTTATCTACTGTCATAATTTCATAAATTTAAAATAATTATTATAATTTATTATAAAATTTATGCAATTTAAATTTTTTACTACAGGATAATAATCTTTATCAATATTTAAGATAGATAATAAGGGTGGAAGAGATAATAGTCTTTATCAATAATCTTTACTCAAAATTAATTTTTTTTGAAAATACAATTTTATTTTCTAAATGATTTTTTTTCTTATTTACAAATAAAAATTAAACAATAATAATTAAAAGGACCCCATTATTGTGATTATCGTCCATGTGCATATTCTCATTTTGTAAATGCATATTCTTCTCCGACATATCTAAGTGTGTGATAAAGCCACATTTGTCCCATCACTTTCTTGATTTCGTGCCTTTACAAGAAAACTATGATTTAAAATAGTAAAAGGGTCTAACAAGTGTCTTAAGATAATGCAAAAAAATAAAATAAAAAAATTAACCTATTTCATATTTTTATTTTAAATGTTAAAGACAAGGCCAATAAAGTAGTCTAACCTATAATGATGAGATAGATGCAAACAGGAACACCAGATAGGGATTGGGGCAGTGTTCATATTTAAATAAAACTCTTTTCAACTTTTTTGAAAATTCTGTTTTCGAATAATAATTTTTAATTAAATTAAAATAAAATTAAAGAAATTAGAATAAATTAGAAAAATCAACTGAATTTTTTTTCAAACCGATTTTAATTAAAAAAATTAGAATTAATTTTTATTAATATAATTTTTTTTATAAAAAATATAATATATTTTAATATATTTTTATCTTATATTAATTACATTAATTTTAAATAATAATTATTTTATTATATTTTTATATTTTTTTAATATATTTTATATTTATAATTTTTATTATAACATGATAAGAACGTTTATTATTTATTTTTTTTAGTAAAAATTATTAATATTAATAATTTTATTATATATTTATTATATTATAAAAATATTATCAACTATGAAAGATAAAGCTAAACATTTTTGTAATTGTTAGTTTCAAAATTTTGCATGACACGATTTCATACCACCAAGCATTTTTCATTGTCTCACGTAATCTTCGTATGAAATATATTTTGTTGAAAGTCCCACGTTACCTACATATTTTGTTGAAAGTCCCACATTACTTAATTACCTGATGTTATTTGGTATGGTTTAAATATATGTTAGATTACTTCACATATTACCAATTGGTTTTATGTTGAAAACTTAACATGGTATCAGAGTCAAAGCCTATCATCTTTTCGATTATTGTTATGGGCCAAAAGTTACCCTTTAGTTGAGTCAAAAGTATCCTTTATCTGATCCGACAGACCTCGTTAGAGGAGATGTGTTGAAAGTCCCACATTACCTATCTCATGTCATTTGGTATGGTTTAAATATATGTTAGGTTATTCCACATATTACCAATTGATTTTATGTTAGAACCTTAACATATTTAAATATTTTAATATATAAAAAGTATATCAATATTTAATTACATGATGTGATAATAAGAGACTATATGATTCAAAAAAAATCACCTAATAAGTTTTCTATTTCAACAATCAGACAAGGAACAAATCACATACCTCATTCAGAAACTATTAATACTTTTAAATGTTAATTACTTGTGAAGAAACACACGCTTCCTTGTGAAGAAACCCTTCAGAAGGTTTGAAAAGGTATCATTGAAGGTGTGTCCCACCTTCTCTTCTCTTTTAACAAGAAAATAGATATCAAATCAAACTATGTACAAAGGAAAATGATGTACAAAACCATCTTGCATGTATGACATATCCAGTATTCTTCTCGTAATCCTCCTTACAGAAAGTGTAGCTTAGTTATTTTATATAGGAATGAATCTTAATCTAGAAACACACAAGTTTATTTGCCACTATAGTCGGTGTAGTATTCATCATCATAGAATGCATCATCATCCCACTCATCATAAAGAAGAGATTTCAGCTGTTGTGCCCTTAATCGTTCTTGTATTCTGTCTCTGATTGCTGTTCCCTGGGATATCAGTAAAATAGCCCAATTAGTACAACACATCAGAATATCCATTTGTTATTTGTCAAGTAGGGAACAGCATCACATGCAAAAACTAGTCATTTGTTATTATAGTAAGCAGCAATCTTTTGAAAAGGTACAAGGAGTCTACCATTTTGTGGCAGCCTTCTTCAAACATCTCAAGAAATCCAGCGACCAATCGATCTGCATTTTCAACCCATTCATTAGGGTGCATTCCAGCAATTTTTCCCACCGTTTGGATCTGCAAAGTTCAACAACATAGTAATGTTGAATAGGAAAATACGCATATTCAGATATGTTCAAGTCCCAAATTCACTAGAGATTGTAAAAAAATGAGACATTTTACTGTCTCTTCAGCAAGAGACAAAAAAAATGACAATAATGTATAGTATAAAAAAAAAAAAATTGATGAGCTGTCACCAGAAGGACTGCTATAGAATTCAATAAGGATAGTGTGTTTTTAAGTCACTAAATTTAGAAGACAAAAAGATGTTTAAAAAGGCAACAGGTTCAGCATTATTCAGTTCTATATGCTTTTGTAAAAAATAAAAGGAGAACTAAATCAAGGTAATGATGAAACCAATAGCATTTCTTCAGAGGGTTCCTTCAATTTGACACCAACCATCCAAGGAATATCCAAACCACAATCCAAGTTCAAAAAGGCAGTTTACAACTTTTCCATTGTGTCTTTACTACTTATTTTTAAGTCTTAAGCTTCTTCATATATTTAACTGGCGGACAGGGGTAATAATCAAACATAGAAAGATTTAAAATTAATTAAATGTTATACAAAGGAAAAGCAAAACAAAGTTAAGAGACAAGTAATCTTTTATGGACAATGGCAACCTCGCTCAAAGACGTGTGCAAACAGTTACCAATGCAAATGCTAATAGTTAGTAAGGATATTTCATGATCTATTGTTACCTTCTTTCCCACTTCCTCTTGTTGTTTCTTCACCCTCTCCTGCAATTTTTTAAGTCCCATGTTCATTCTCAACCTCTTCTCCTAAGAGATTGTGTAACAAAGTATAAGTTCCTCGCTAAGCAATAAATCAAACCAATGATGAAACTGAATACTATAACATAAAAAATCTTAGAAAAAAAAAAAAAAGCAAAACAAAGATGCTAACCAAAAGAACAAACCTTGACATAGCTGACACCTAGCTCCTTTCTTGTATAACCACGGTCCAAATTTCGCATTACATATTGATTATAATCTTTGATAATTCTCATTATAATATCAGAGGTAGAAATTCCTTCAGTCCGCTTGGTTTCCTTAAATTTTCCAATAGACTTAACCTGAATACGAAATTGAAAGGCATAATATCATAAATTGCAGATTAAAAGTTTGAGATGGTTACAAGTGACCTTAATTTGATACAGAATGAGATGGTTAAAGGTGTAAGAGAAAACTGGCAAAATAATTAAACAAATAAAATGTAGCCAACTAGAGGCCATCAGAATATATTGGAGAAGAAAAAGGCATAAAAAATTGAATGCTGCCAAACAGAGGGAAAGAGGAAGAAAGGACATTCAATTAATGGAAACTAAATTGGAACATAGTTCTCACTTGAACTTACATATTCATACACATCCTTTCCGGCTCCACTTGCATCAGCATAACTATGATAATAGAATAAGGAAGTGATAAAATATATGAGAAAATATAAGATCTTGAAGAAAATGGTACAAGTCAGAATATACTTGGGAGTTGTAATGCATGCAGAACAGCATCACATGGATAGAACAGAAGCATCCCAAGACAACCAAGTGAAAAGAATAATAATATCAACAAGAAGTCAACAACAGTGTACTAAAGAAAATTCTAATACACAGATATTTCAAATATGGCAACATATTTATATTGTACATACCCATGCAGGGTACCAATACGCATATAGTAGGGTGGCCTCCACAATAGAACTTGGGTCTGTTATATTCAAACCTCTTTTTTCCATTGAATAGTTATAACTGAAAATTGTAACATTTTTCATTTAAATTTGACTACAATAATGTTTAATAATAATTTTGTCAAAAGATTAAAGGCTAGAAAAAATGTGATGATGATGAAAAAATCAATATAAAAAACAACTATATGAAGTAAGATAAAGATTGAGAGAAAAATAAATTAAAAAATATAAGAAATATATATATATATATATATATATATATATATATATAATAGTTATATTTTTAATTTAAAATACATTGTTGTACCCATATCTTCATTTAAAATATTATTGTATTAAATTATACTTGATACATTATTAGGATATGACATTATACAATCATAACATGCTATTTTGGTTATTTCTTATATAACAGGACTCAGTCAGCCATGTCATGTCCTATATCTTCTCTAGGAATCTGTTGTGTCCCTGTGTTTGTGTTGGATCATGCCATTTATCATACTTTCGTATCTATGTCTTGCATTGTGTCCATGCTTCCTACTTAAAATCCCTAAACTTTTCACATCACAGCTGCAAAAACCAAGAATGTCTGCACATCCATTCAGTGTCAATTCTATTCTGGTGTTGATAATTTTTCATCAAGAAGTCAAACATTTTAAACCTACATTAAATACAAAGGAAAGTATAGCCTGGGGCTGGTTAACCTTACGGAAGACTATCATGTGCTACATAGTCAATTTGATGCTTGTCAAGGAACTCCTTAGTGATTACCCATGGCGCATCTGGAATAACTTCATCAACCCACCTGGAGCAAGTACAATTCAAAATGCTTCACACACTCTAATACTCAATGAAAACAATTAATTGGACTGAAACTGCAAAGGTCCAATATACTGTAATCAGGAATTTAAAAGTAATTTAAGTGAGATGAACAAATTGATTGAATTTGTTTTTTTTTTTTTTTGAGATTTCAACCACTAGTTAGATTTTAGGAGACAACAGATCTAGGCACTGACGTGTGAATAGTATCTACAAAATCAACTAATTAGAAATTATACGAGAGATGATTTTTATGATAGTTATTGCAAAATCCCAAAAAATTGCCATTTTAAACAATTTTTTTTTGCTTGACATCCTTTACAGTATATGTATAATTTACTCATAATTCATTGATCAGAAGAAACAAGCTTTCAAAACAAGTGTACAGCAAAAGTCCGAACTAATAAAACACGAGTCAAAATTCAAACCCGAAATAGAAAGGAGAAAATAAAAACCTGCAGTGGCGAAGAGATTCATAGCGTTCCTTTTCAGTCATAACAGTTTTGCCCTTATACTTATGGGTGGTCTCATCATTGCAGCATCCAACAAGAAGATAAGTGTTTGGAAACCTTCAATTAAGGAAAAGCCAAAGGATTGAAGCAGCATGAACAATTTCCCACAAACAAAAACTAAGTTTAAAAATAGAAAGAAAAAAAAGAGACTAATTCAGCAAAATGCACAAAACCCCGTTTTGAAGTGGGAAAATTAACCAAATTGAGGGGGTTAGAGGAGTGGAAGTCAAGTTTAGTCCATGTGTATGCACCAACTAACCCAAAAGAAATAAAACATGGATTTGAAGTAAAAGTCTTCGTGTCCTTTTCAAATGAAAAATGAAGTAGAGAGTATGAATTACGATTTCTTGGCTTGCTCAAGCGAACGGGCATGGCCGAAATGAAAGAGATCATAAATCCCATCAGCGTAAACTCGAACCGGAGTTTCCTTGCACCCCTTTTCCATAACTTTGCCCTCTTCTTGTTCTTCCATTTCTCTCTCTCTCACTGATCAGTGAAGGAATGAACACGAGCGCGTGCATCAAGCCACTTTATTTTTCATTTATTTTTAATTATTTTTCTGTATTTATTTTCTCTATATGACTTTGATTAAATATCTCTAATTTGTTTTTTTTTTTCTGTATTTTAGAGTCTTTTTTACCAGACAGAATCTCAAGGAAAAAAAAAACTAAAAAAAAATTGAAATTAAGATGATTTTATTTGCTAAGAATAACGTGATTGGGGATTTTGGGTTTTTGCAGAAACTTGAGGTATTTCCATTACTTAAGTGTTTTAGACATGTTGGACTAATTTTGGGTATGGAATTGGTTATATTAAGATTTTTTAATTAAAAAATAAAATAAAATCAAATAATTTCATTTTTTTCTCTTTTTAATTTTGAAAATGATATTATTATTTTTTATCCAATAAATGTGATTCAGTTGGTAATTCAATAAAAACAAGAGAATTTCTTTTACAATCAACCACATTATTGATTTTTTTAATTCAATATCATGAAAAAAAATTAATTGAATTAAAATCAATTAGCAATTAGTACATACAATGACAATCAAATTCAGAGTATTTTTACTGTGTTTAGAAAAAGTTTAAGATAGTAATTTGTTTTATTATCTTTTACGTTGAATTTTTTTTTTTTTTTTACAATTTGGGTCTTATGCAATATTTTGCAATCATTGTGAAAGATAGTGGGTGGTCCCAATAAATTTTGTCATGGATTGTGTGACACCAAATACTTTCTTTTCTTTATATAATTATATTATTTAAATATTGTTCCATTTTCAATCTTAATAAATAATATTTATGATATATGATATATATATATATATATATACAAAATTTTTTTAACCATTTTTATCAATTTTTATCATTATCATTTATAATTATTTCTATAATATATTATTAAAAAAAGAGAAGAGATAATATAAAAAAATAATTATTATAATATTATGCATTTAAAAGATGAAAAAGAATAAAAAGATATATAACATTGTGAAAATGGACAAAAAAAATGTTATATATTAAAAATAGAACTAATTATTTTGAAAAATTAACAGTACAAAAAGTATGAATACTTAAGTGATTTAATGTTTGTATTTTCATCATTAGTAGAATTTTTTTAAAATTTTTAATGTTTTTCAGATAATTACTTGTTGCTGTTATACTAAAATATATTTTAATAGTAGCTTGAGATTTGAGTAATTGGCTATGTAAGAGAAAGCTTAAAACATAAGATAACAACGACAACAGTTAACTGTAAGATAATTTAGAAGAAGAATACATTTTAACACTGTCCTATGTATGAATGGTGGTTCAGTTAACAAAAGAGTAAAATCAATCAAATTTGAAATTTAAGAAATGCTTGTCTAAAAGATCACACACTGAGAAAATCAGAATACGTATGGTTGCAAAAACAAAGGTTTCTTTTGAAATCAACATTACAAGTTCTAAGATCAACTACAGTAAAAGAGTAGTAACATGAATTTGTGGAGTGAAAATGCTGCTTGCCTCCCTCTCTAAACAGCTCAATCATGCAACTTTGTTTGAGTTAGCAGAAATTTCCTGGAAGAAGCATTATAACACAAATGATTAGTCCAAATGGGCAAAGGATGCATAAAGCTGCACTTAACTTCAGTCGGAAATCTGAATTACAAAGCATGAAGAGTAAATATTCAAAATAGTGAAATGTGACAACATTTATTTGACAAGGACATAGTAGTAGAATAAGTACCAGGAATTATTGATTACCTTGGTACAAATATATATATAATGCACATCAGGATTTCGTCCTAGGGCTTCCTCCACAGAGCTTCCATCATCATTGAGGGGAACAGGTTTTGTCAGATCCCAAACTGGTTGATCAGATTTCTCTTCTGATGCAAGTTTCTCTGCATATATCATGACAGTGGTTATAGACTAGGACTTAGTTTACCCTCCAATTTTTAATGCCTAAGGCTAAAAATGTTTATATACTTTATTCAAGCCTAGCAAATTGGCAATTTAATAGGATACTTTGATGGGAAAAGACTTAAAAAGCCTTTGTTACATATCTAAAACCAAATGACAATGCCTCATGCATTTAACCAGCAACAACAATTAAGTAAATCCCCAATGCCCACAACAATAATGCAATTTTTTAGTTTACAAGTATCACTCAATTGAAACTTAAGGGTCTATTTGGATAAACTTCTCATTAAACATTTACAAGAGAAGAAATAAAGAGATAAAATGAACTAAGCATCTCACATAAGTAAAAATTAATTTATGTAGAAGTTAAAACCAGCTTTTGAAAAAGCAAAATGAGAAAGTTTACATTTGAACTAATTTTAACTTCTGGGATAAGTTTCATTCATTTTTCTTCCTTGATTTTGTATCCTATAAGTGCTTATTTAGAAGTTTATCCAAACAGAGTCTAGGTATATTCTAAATTTTAAGTTATTTGGGGCTTCTGAATAGCAGGAGTAAATGTCAGAACACTAGGAGCCAGTAAACATGCCTCTGAGAGATATAGAACAGAATGTGTGGAACTTGGAGTACAAAATGACATTGACATTTAAGATTCAAACCGACCTATCACATGGAGTTTTATTGTCCATGAGGACGAATCCCGTAGCAAACGTAGACGATATAGTGGAGCTCCATATGTCACCTGCAGATTTTACAACCATTCAAGGCTCCTCAGGTGAAATCCAAATGCACATTCTATTCATTGGAGAGTAAACCTGAATGCAGCTTAAAAAAGAGGTGTAATTACCAGAACATAAACTCCTTTATCCTTGAGGACCCTATAGTGTGTCATCAACTGCTTCAATAATGGTGAACAGATCAAGAATAAAAAAAATCCAAAATAAAACAGAATCTGTAAAATAATTATAGACTTTTGTTCATGGTTTTATTATACCTCCAAACCTCCTCAAGCATTTTTGTAGCATTTTGCCTTGAATTATTTCCACACTACAAACAAAACATGCAAAGACCAAACCATAAGACTTGTCAAACATACTAGCATTTCAACGAGCATTACCATCACTACACTCACCAAGATAGAGTCAAGAGTCCCTGAAAAAAAAAAAAAACATTATCAGCACAATTCATTGTCCAATATGCACTAATTATAATTAAACTGAAAAAAATAATTGAAATAAAAACAGCAACCACACCTTTGTCAATAACAGCAGCAAAAGACTCCGATTCAAAATCACTCATGTCTCTCACATCCATTTTCATATCTGCCCAATTATTAAGGATACTACTTCAGACTCAACATTTTCATGATTACCATCTAAGTTAAAATCTATGAAGTGCAATACTTTATAACGAATTTGATTAAAATGCACTGACATACCGTTGTCATCCGATGACAAATTATCAAATGCCGTAAATTTGTTGAAATTTTCAATAACTAACTTAAAATTGATAGATAATGTAAAAGATTATCCATAGACAGACACAACTGTGTATCACAATTAAACTCTAACGATTCGAAACATGTACAATTGGCACAGATAAATCACAGGATACATTTCAATTGGGGGCAATCATGGTGTTTGCTTTTCATTGCTTCAATGACCACCGAAGATATATCAATGTTGACAACGTCTGTGTAACCACCATCAACCACCATGCCTTCGCTGAAGGCTGCAAACACCACAACATCATATTTTTTTCAAAACCAAAAAAACAGAAAAATCTAATTTTTATTGAATCCAAAGAAAGAGGGCATTACCCACGAATGAGATCTAAATAAATGACGAAAAAGAAAAGAAGGGTATGAGAGGTGAACGTGCCTGAGTTGCCACAACCAACGATGAGAACGGGTTGGGTAGTAGGGACATAGAGATTGATGATGGGAGCCAAAGTGAGGTACTTTTGGTACCAATCGAAGGGACCAGGTTCGTTGGTGTAGCGGTTGTCCCAGTACCATGGTTCACCGTAGGCTTGGGTACTTGACGTCATAACTCTCGGTGTTTGGAAATCGAATGGTGTGACTCCAATCCAATGCCTTTATGTGGAAGATGCTGCAGTCACAAATCTTGAAAATGTTTGTTCCAAATCTTGAAATGGAAACAAGGTCAGAGAAGTGATGGAAAGAAAGCAACATATACTCGCTTAACGTGGCATGCTACACTGTGATCACTGATTCTTATTTTGTTGTGTTTGGCAACACACTTTTTCTTTTATACATTAAATTTATTTCATTATAAAAACTCTAGAGGTCTTGTAATAATTTATGAATAAAAAATTGGGTACTGATTATCTTTTTATAAAAACTTTTTTTTTCTCATTTTTGTGATGGATTTTTTTTGTTACAAATAAAAAACATGGATTACTTTCAAAAATAATTATTACTATCTAATAGTTCATTTAATTAAAATTTATTCATCTAACACCATCTTTAAATATTACTGGTGATAGATTTTGCTTAAGTGTTTTTTTACATCAATCAATATAATAATAAAAATTAATATAATAATAAAATTAATAAGATCAAGCCTAGATAGTTCTATAGATACTGTTCTCTAATTATTCAAAAAAAAAAATTATAATTTGAAACATGTGATATATTATTGTAATGAAACTTTCCTATTCGGACCTTAAAATATATCCAAAACGTGTCTCGATCTCGCCGATAATCACGAATCCATAGCCAATAGCATGTAACCAAATGTTGTTTGTTTGAACATTTTGATGTGGTGGATGTGATGTGAGGCACGTTACGTGGCATCGATGAACACCAATAGGAACCCAATTTGTTAATCTTCGATGCTCTGTTTCTCACGATTAGTTGGAGATTTCGGTGTTTTGGTTTGTTGAACGCTTAGTTACGTCACAAGGAAGTTAAAGGCACACTTGTTTCGTTTATTGTGGTTTTCTTCGGTACAAGTTGGTCGTTAGCTTTTATGAATGGCAACTGCGTAAAAAAAATCAGCAATAGACGTTTTGTAAAGAATTTGTCATGCAAAATGTTTACATTGATAATCGCGGAATTCAATGAGACTTGATAGTTCCTTCTTCCATAAGAGAAATTGTAAAAGACAAACCTATTGAAAACTAATGGACATTTTACCAACTAGCTTTTGCAATTTAAGGAATGCATATTTCTATAGTGCCTATTGGGCTATTGCTTATGTTTCAAAAAATCGAAGTTCTGCCATAAATTCTTGCCGTTTGGGGGAATACCATGCAACTGCTTTTGCTGAACCAAGAACTTGCAGTGCATATTCCAAAGCAAATACGGGTTCCTGAGCATGAATAGGCCAATCAGGGTTCTTCAGATCAACTGTAATTCCAGAATCAACTCTGAAACTGACAGGACCAACAATCTGCAAAATATACATAAAAATGTGTTTTGGTTTACACTACACCAGCATTAAGGACCAAATGCTCGAACAATTTTCAGTGCATGATAAGAATCATGAGATCTGAAGAGCATGGATAGAATCAAATGAGGTGGAGACCGTGAGAGGCAGGATAGTGAAATTGAAAAATTGATTTTTTATTTTTAATAACCATAACATATATTTACTTTATGGACAAAAACGATAGGAAACCATATAAACAAGAGCAAGTCTCTTCTTTAGCGACTTATTAACAAAGCATAAGGTCTAGTTTGGCTAGAGTTTTTCATAAGCATTTATCAGAGGAAAAATTACGAAGCCAAAATGAATTAAAAGTTAAACTTCTCTTATATGTTAAAATCAACTTATGCATTTAAACTTTTATAAAAGTTTTCATTGAACATCTTCAAACATGAGGTACATGGTTGAGTTTAGCTTAAGCAAGAAGTTCAATCCATTTTACCTTTTATTTTCTTCTCTTACAAGTGTTCATAGAAAAGTTTATTCCAACAGTTTCAGAATGTCTTTTCAAGATAAAGACTACTGATCAGAAGAAGTTTAAAACACTGAATCATGCAAATTTGTGAAATAATTGGGAGATACCTGCTGGTGAAGTGAAAGTGTAGCATTGGGTAAAATCGCTTGAACAGCTTCCAAGCTGGGCTTTTGAGAATTGAGAAGATCTTGTGTTAGACCAGTTGCAGCTGAAAGAAATTTGAAACCAGAAGGGAAATCCAGCCGGGCCTGAAATTGGGTTAGATCTAGGAAAAGCCTTTGAAAGTTTCCATGTTGAGCCGTGAATGACACGGATGCAAACATATCTGCTAGATAGGAAGACTTTACTCCAGAAACCTGGAGAAAATATCCTGGACTACCATCTTCTATTTGTCCTCTTGCTGAATTATCCCCGAAAGCAATGGTTGCAGCAGCACCTTGCCATTAAAGAATTTAAGGAAATAATAAGTATACTCTAAAAGCATCCACAGCTTCAAGTAACATGGAAATGCTCGAGATCAAAGATCTTTGTGATCAATACCAATGTATTTGATTACTAGCTACTATATCCTCTTTGTACCCACACCCTCATGTCAAACATAATCCCAGAGGCTTTCAAATCATTTCCATTTAGTGATAATAATAACATGCATCTGAAATGTTAAGGAAATATCTAGCAGCTTCCTCACTTCTTCGCACAGAAAATGAGTATATATAAATATAGTTCACAGCCAGCATCCTTTTCATCTGGACTCTAGAATGTGTCGGCAAAAAACATTACAAAGAAGAAAATTTACCAATAATCCCTGAGGCAGACACATGAGGATTTGAAAGAAATATGTCATGCGGTTGCACCAATTTCAACTTTAGGGCTTCACTTCTCCAAATATCAATTTTCTTCCTGTAAGAAAAGGCACTTTTGAAGGCCAAGCCAGGAAGTAGAGCAGGTGGTACTCCATCATTATGGTTCTGAATATTTTGAAACTGCTTCGGTGACCCCGAAATGTAGCGTGCGGACAAATGATATGCGGTGGAAGAGTCACTGGTAGTCACAGAAGCAAGATCAACTGCCGTTGAAAATGGTACATCCCAATAGTTACCGGTATTATCAACAAAAAGACCAGGATAAACTGCCTCCACTGTTAGATCATGATCTGGAAACTAAAACCACACACCAATGAAATTTTGTATTAGTAAAAGACCAAATCTAGTTACATCATGTCAGAAAGCTACCACAGAACAAAGTCCATGGTTGATGTAAATCGGATTAACGTCCACGTCCATGACCACTGAGAATTGCAAAGTTCATCATTTGGGATGCACAAGAGGATACATTCAAATGCTTACCTTATGATGAAAAACTGCTTTCCCACGAGGCTTTTCAGTATCATCATACGCATCTAAGCTAAAAAGCAATTTATCATCTGGCCCCAACTGGAACTCTGAAGAGATGCCCAAGGCATACAAGGACTTCTGCTGCAGATGTCTCGCAAAGGTTTTCAACCAAGAGGAAATCCCCTTTGGCTTCTCCTCACTGCTCTTCACAGAGGAAACAAACCTCTGCAAATTGAACTGACCCAGTAAAAATAAATCCCTGCAAAACTCTCACACTTGCATATCAGCCACCAGAGTTGGGAGAAAACACACACAATCGTTAGTTACAACAACAAGAAAAAGGCCACATGATGTCCAACTAGGCAAAATGGGCTACATGGATCACACAGCTCCAATAAAGACCAAATCATCCGAGAGATATTATATGCTATGAGAAACCTTCCTCCAGTGTCTTTCTCATTGGACTAAAAACCATACAATCTACTCTCCATAGATAATAAACACCACTAGTTGTTAAACTAATGAAAACAATAACTGACTTTTAATTAGTCATTTTTATAAAAGCAATACCAACTAATCTAAAATGCAACACAAGTGGAGTATATTAAAAATAGAAAAATCTAACACAGGCCCAGAAACGAAAAGGGGCGGCGAAATGCACAAAAAGATTGAAACTTTGGTGGAGAATTTAGTTAGCATACCAGTTATCAGAAAAGGGGAGGGAGATAAGACGGTGGAGGGAGAAGCCATGAGGTTCGGCGTAGGAGGGAATTAGAGGGGCATGCATGAAACGGTGCATGAATTGGAGTTGTATGGGTCTGGAAAGCCTTGTGCCTCGTGAGAGAGCCAATGGAAGAGGGTCTCCGGGAACAGGACAGGCCAATCCATCAAGGGTTTGGGGAGTGGAAATGTCCAAATCCCAAAACCCTCCTCCATCCATTACCCATCTCAGTTTCCTCATCACAATCCAATGGAATGGAATTGAATGAATGAATGAACAATCTTCTTCTTCTTCTTCTTCTTCTTCTTCTTCTTCTTCACTCACTCATTCACTAACTTTTATCACACTCACTTGGTCATTCATACTCAGCCACCCAATCCAACTACGGTCATCATGTTACCAATGGTCAAAGTTTAAACCAAAGTAACGAGAAATGGGAATTTGTACTGAAACTACCAACCAAAGAAGACAGAGATTATAATAAAGCTTTTAAAAGAAAAAGTGATTCTTTTTAAAATTGAGAGAAAAAAAATAATCCTAAATTTAAAAAAAATAAAAAACATAATTAATTTTTTAATATGATTTAGCTTATCTCAATTGAGGACGTAACTTTAGAGAATAAAATGCACCTATAATTTTGAATATTTAAAATTATAATAAACTTGAATGTCATCTTTGTATCTACATTTTTTTTAATGTCTGAGATTATTATATAAATATTTAATATTACTGACAAATGTTATATTTGTTCTACCATATAACTTCCTTTAATACATGCAGCCTTAATCATTAGTTAATATTATATCACAATTATCCTAAGTAAATCTAAGTTTAGCACCTTTAATTCCTGATCAAGAACTTTGAACTTTATTTTTGTTTTACGATTTTAGTTAATTGGTTTTAAAAAATTCATAGTCTTATTAAGAATAATTTTGTTCAAATTTCAATGTCAAAATTTGCTTAATGCGATTCACTTATTAATAGATATATAAAAAAAAAAAGACAGTAATGAGTTCGTTAGTAGTTATAGGTCCAAAACAAAAACAAGTTACAAACAAGAGTTTTAATTTACTTTTTTTATCAAGAGCCTTCTATTTCTTTTTGTCAATTTAAAATAAAATTTTGATTTATGTGTATTTTTAAAAGATTTAAGATAAATATTGATTATAACTCTCTGCATTATAAGGCAATAATTACAATGATAAAAATATATATTAAAATAGCGCATAACACAATATTTTGAGTATAATAATAATAAAAAAATAGTATATTATTCATACTATGTTATCGTACTAAAGAATATGGCACATTAAAAACATATTAATTAACATGCTATATCATTGAGATGTTGAATAAATAAATTGGAGTAGGTTGAATTTAATTTTTCTTCAATCCAGAATTTTGATAGAAATTTTGTTTAAACATTCAATTCAACCTTATCAAAAGTTAATAATAATGAATTAATTGCGGTTATTTTAATTTTAAATGTAATTTTAAAATAAAAACATGTTAGTATCTTTAATAATTATTTTTAATTATATTTTATAATGTCTCTTTCAATTATAGTCACAACTATAATCATTATAATTAGTACTATATTATTTATTTCCTTCTTCCTTTAAATAAGACTTCGGAAGAAAATTATCTAAACATGTTTTTATTGAACATATTTTGTTGATATAATATAAAAATTTTAAAATTTCGTATAATTCAAACTATAAAAATAATAAAATATAGACTAAAGTTAAAATATATTTCATGACAAATATTTTAAAACAAATAATATTAGTGAGTGGGTTTGTTTGGCTAATTTATTAGTTTAAAAATATTTTAAAGTTAAAGCTAAAACAATATATTTATGAAAAGAAGTGTAAGTTGTTTCACTGTTTTTATTTTTAGATTAAAGTTCCTTTAAAGTTAAAATTTATTTGTTAATAAATATAAAATTTTTAGTTGTATTTAAAACTATTTAAATTTCAAATGAAAAACCATATTTAAAATACAAATTTTGAAAAAAAAAACATTTTTATTTGTACGATATTATTTTAACAATTTGAGCATTCAAATACAGGTATTTCAAACAATGAATTTCACATATATATATATATATATATATATATATATATATATATATATATATATATAAACTGAGAAAACAATGTATATAAACGAAAATGACACAGAACAAAAAATTACTAATAAAGAGTGTGGAAGGTAGGGATTCCTTGAAGCATTTGAAGTTTGAAGGAACTAAACTTTATAAAGTGTAAAGTAAAAGAAAAAAAGAACAAAAGTAAAAGAAATATTATATTAGAGGAATCTAATAATACTAAAACAAAAAAAGTAGGAAAGTTAAATAAATGGTTGATAAAAGGACAATGCAGAAACAAAAAATTACAAATAGGATGTAGAGACAATGTATCGTGTGTAGAGGACAAAAGATATCATATTTTTTATAAGAAATATACACTGCTTCAAATGAGGCAGGTAATAATATTATATACAATAACCTCAACTTAAATCCAAAATTTACACAAAAAAACCAGCAAATCTTTTATCAATGATTAACTACTCAATCTAACAAATACTGAAAACCACACAACCCAGTCCTTCACATAATTTGCAATAAGACTTTGGAAATTGTATGTGGTTGCAGTCTGCATGCTTAAACAAGCATTCAAGAACAAACAGGAATTGCACTGATGACATATATGCAGAAAAATCAAAATACTATCAAACTGCTAGTTAATTACACATTTGATTGCTTTTTTGTGATTTACAAGTTTCATCTAAAACATTTTGCCCATAATTTCCCCCAAGATTATACTAAATCAAAATACTATCAAACTGCTAGTAAATTACACATGTATAGTCTACAACTCAATCATCATCAGTGTCACAGATAGAAAATATTGAACCCATCATTTGAGATTTTCCCTGCAGTAGTTTTTTATCTCTACATATTCGGAAAGGAAGTGTATGGTCATGGTTGGTGATAGAAACCCCAAGACTCCTTGAAGCTGAAAGAAGACGTGTCCCAATTTTCGATTTTTTATTTTTGCTCCCTGATAAAGGATGTTTTCTAGCTTTCAATTTTCTACTTTTGCTTCCTGGTTTTTTGGATACCAAGTCATCGTGCAATGGAGCATGCAAGACATGTGGAGATGTTTTGGGAGTGAACTGTGGCAAGGAATTTCTTTTTATCTTCAAGCAACCATGTTCTTTGCTGCTTGAATGAACTTCAATCTCACTATGAACAGCTCTAGAGGTAAGATCTGAGTTTGAAGAGCTGCTAAAATTGTCAATGCCATTGAAACTTGTAAAATATTTATTGATTATACCTGTGACAGATATCACTTGTGTTGACATCTTACTATGACTGCCTTGCATCGAGTTAGCATGCAACTCAACCAAATTTTCAACTTTATTCTCTGGCATTGCATATGAACTCTTAGCCATACCAGTGGCTGCATTTTGAGCATCATTTTCATGAGAAATTCCATTTTCCTCCTGCTTCTTTGAATCAAGATTAGTGGTTTCATGCTCTTCTACTAAACATGCATTGGGTTGGAACCCTTTCACTTTCTTTTCCTCACTGTTACATCTTGCCTTGCCACCTTTGCAGGTCACTAAGTCCTTATGTTTTGAAAGAACTTCTTCATCACAGGGTGAACACGGAATACACAAGCATTTTAAATGCTTAACTTCCACATGAAGAAACCATGTTCCTCGCATCATAGGGAAAGCAAACCTTATGGGAAAGGAATCAGGCAGGTAGTAGAAGAATGATTTTCGCTTCACCTGGGAGAACATTCAGTAACTTGTGAGCACAAGGCTTATTGTTACAAAATTCATAAAAGGATATATAGATACTGAAACAGAAAGTAAAGTGCTTACCATTAGTCCATTAACTTGGATCTCTCCTATATCGGGTAAACAACTGAGGTGTGCTTTCTCAAACTCTCCTGCAGAACAATCATTGCATTAATTATCTTTCATGTCACAACCTAACATACACCAAGCTGAACTACAGTTTCATCAATGCCTTTCTTTTAAGAATAATGACAATGTTAAGAATCAACAGTACTCCAGAACATTAATCTATTAAAAAAAGAAAGACTAACCAGAATCGGAGACAAAGCATTCAATGGAAAACTAAAACTCAAAGAAAACTAGATTTTGCAAAATATTGAAATTGATTAAAGGATAACCATAGTTTCACTGATAAGTTGAAATAATGTTATGTAAGAGCTAAAACAGTCATCAATCCATCGCCACTTAGAGCGTGCAAAAGGAAGAAAACATTCTTATGTTTTGGTAATCTCCAAAATACTTCTAGTGCACAAATTCAAAAGTGCTAAGCTTTCTCCACTTAAATTCCCTATTTTATTCTCAAATTTATTTGAAAACATGCAGCAGGCCAAGATGGTAGAGAGAATAAACGGACTTTGAGTAAAACTAGAGATTGAGACAAGTTTCATTTCAATAAACTCCACAATAGATGCCCTTACATGCTTGTGTGTGCCAAAAAGCAATAAATGAATGGTAATGAGAAAAAAAAAACACCTATCTAAACTCATGTAAGACCAGTATTTCAATCATAAAACATGCAGAAGAAATAGACAACACATAAGGCAGAGATTCCTCCTCAAAGTCATCATCACAACAACAATTCATCAAACAAAGTGATACATGGAGGCAAAGGTTGCAACGTGCAAAATAAGACAGCCCAATATCAAAATCTTCAAATGAATAAATTATTAAAACCAAGAAGTTAATGGGTAGAGGAAAAAAAAAAGAGTATTTTTCTTACTTTTAAGTGTGTGTGGACTTACTTTTGAGAGATGCAGAGGTAATGTCAGGAGGGGCATTGAAGGCAATGCGAGTGCCTAAGTTTGTTTCGGCAAAGACTGTAACTTGAGCGTTACCACCCATTGGACTTTATCTGTGTTTTTCGCAGTTCCTAAAAAGATGGCATCTTCAGTTCAAGGTTCAATCAAACCAATAGTTGTGTTATTCAGAAGAAAACGGAGAAGAAATTGAAGATGGAAACTTGGGCCGGTCACATTTGTTTCTGTATCCCTATGTGTCCTTTCACTCCACTTTTCATGCAAATTGAAACGTGTTACAGGGTTCAAAACATAAACAATCTAATATTTATAAGTGAAAACGATCGCGAGGTAAGAGTGAAGAAGCCTAGGGTTTGAAACAAAAATTAATAACAGGATGTCTGGGTATTTTACATGAGCTTTGGGGTGCAGAAAGATATTATAGGGGTGCAGAAGGAAGAAGCACAATTTCCGTCTTTCTTTCGGCCTAATCAACCGGGTGAAGGCCCATCCATGTCTTTTTTTCTTTTCTTTTAACTATAAAAATAAAATAATATTAAATGTCATGAAAAAATTTCTACCAAATAAAAAACAAAGAATAAGAGCCGTCACGGTCTTTAAGAAACAATTGTCTTATTTGTATAAGCAATTTAATTGTGTAATTTTGAGCAAAAGTTTCAATTTGGTTTTAAGTCTATTTCTACTGAAAAGTTAACAAAGCTTTTACTTTTTTATATATTTTCTTTTTTAGTCCTAAACAAACATTTGACTAATTTTAATTTTAAATTTTTATCCATCAATATATTTATCCTCTATGATTAAAAACCATCGTTATCTGATAACGTAAGAAGTTATTTAGCTTGTCGTGTGAACTACAATTATACATGACAACCATATGTAATTTTATGACTCAAATTTGATTTTTACTCTTTTATCCTTTTATAATATTTATTTTCATTATCTTGACATCTTACTAATGGGTTTTAGTCCTTCAATAAAAAAAATTTATTCTATCTTATCAAATATATGATCCTTAATTTTTCATCTTTAGTTTAATATGATATCTTATCAAATATGATCTTTAATCTTTCCTCTATAGTTTAATATAATAATATGATTAAATGTTATCAAATTAAAATATGTTTTGCGATTAAAAGACACTATCATAAAATTGTTATAAACTTGTCCATCAAAATAAAACTTAACTTTGGAGGTAAAGTTGGAAAGAAAAACTGTTATTGATCACACCTTTTATCTAAGAAAACATAAGAAATCATACTCTGCATTTTCATTATAAATTGCCCACATCGCTACATTTCAAATAACAATTAAACGTATTTGAATCGCTTTTTACGACACTTTAAAATCAAAAGATTTGAGATAATTGACAAATAAAAATCTAGCCTGTTTAACGTTATATCAAAACAGATAAATCTAATTTTAGCATCCAATCTTGATGACCCGTGTGAAGCCCCAAAAATTATACTACACAGAGAACATATCTTCTTGCCTGCACTATACTTAATGCCTAAAGGCAAATCTTCTGATTTCATGAATTCAAAGCAGGGGTATCTTTTTTCCTGACAACAAAGAGGACCTTCATTCTCCATATCACCGTGCACATGCGAGAATAGGAGAATAAAGGATCACCATTGGCTCAGCTTATTAAAATATAAGCCAACTCATTCAAAGAAAAGAGACAATAATGAACACTCTACTCATCCCAAACGATTGAACGCATTGTTACAGAATCTAATTTTAACAGTTAACCAAAATTTCAAAAGCACATATAAAGTAATCATGGAAGGATCCTGCGTCTTCGGCGTGGAGTCTCTCGTCTCACATACATTTTCTCCGTCTCATTCAGTGGTCGGCTTGATCCATCAGCCATGCTAGCAAATTTCCAGCCCCCACCACCTCCACGTTTTCCCCTGGATCCCAATTTCTCTACTGTAAAAGTCCATCCATCTGAAGGACGTCGTCGACTATACTTGTGGCATTTGACCTCTCCAGCCATCTACACACAACCAAAGTCACATTATTTAATGATATCCACAAACAAAAATCTGACTAGAAAGCACATACAAAAGACAAGAGAGGCTGGATATGGATGTGAGGGGAGCTGTTCACGCATAGACCATTAAAAGAAATTTTAGCTTATAATAATTTCTCCTAATGTTTTTGCAGGTCTTCATCTGCCTTTTTTAGTCACTATATTCCAATAGACAAAATTTCACCATCTCTGCAATAGGAAATTTGTGAAGGGAGGCTTGTTATGGCAGCACCATAGGCAGCAATGGCGTGCTTATATAGGTGGAATTTTGGCCTTCCACCAGTATTAACACTGCTTCCAAAGATTTATGATCCAATTCTTATCTTTCCTGAGATGTGAACTCATCCTTAGCATTTTAATCTCGGATAAACTATTATTTGTTCCTATTACAACTTCACAGCCCAACATTCACAACCATAAAACATTGAAAACTGTTTGATAAATATTTCAAGTTCGATAGGCACATAGTAATTACAAATTACACCTGAAGCACTTGGCCACTTAATCCACTATATTCAATCCATGTGACATCCCCATCAATCTCTTCATTACTACGGCTGATCATGGTTAAAAATCCAAACCAAATTCTAAAACCGGTTTGGTTTTAAAAACCTAACAATTAATGGAAAACCGGTTTGAATTTATGTGAACCCATTGAAAACTGAATTTTTTACTCTAAAACCAGATTTGAACAAAAACAATTTTAAATATTAATTTAATTAGAAAATAAATAAATAACTCTGCTACAGTCCATCACTCTTCACAAACAATATTAGTGAAAGTGTTATAAGGACAAATATCAGTCATTTCTACAGACATAATCCCCCTTAAACCACTGGGTCTTGTAACCTGCTATGAAAATGTTCCATTACTTAACCATCCATTTATATAAATATTGTGATATGACCATTTCATCAACAAAATAAAAGAGACCAGTGAGAAATTATTTCCAGTAACACTGGTAAAGTGTATATTAACTATCAAGATAACAAGTAAACACAAATAGGCTAATTTTAAAATGTCAAGGTATCTGATAATTGACTGAGTACATTTGTCATTGTGGCACCAAAACAACATATTGTCTTTCATATTAGTAGCAGCAGCAATGCGACATTCATAGCTTAGAAGTCCCTAATATGGGAGCTTTGGATTACCAAGATTCTACAACAATTTGTGACTTCATTAGGACAGATTTCTTAAGGGCATTTTGTGTGGTTGGGAACACTCAATCTAAAATCATAGATAATTGCTACGCAAACTGCCAGACTGGAATGCAGGAAACATAGATGAGAAATGATTCCCCGGTTTTAGGTTTATTATTAACTTTCCATTTTTATCAACTTGAAGATCTAACTTAATTGCATAATATTCAGCAGAAAATCGGCAGTGGGAGTTCAGTTATGATCGAAGGCCTTTCCATCAGATAGAATGCACCTACCCTTGCAACCCTACTCAATGTGGACAGATTAGGAAGATTACTCGTGGAATTGTACAATTCCACTATTTTATGTTACAAAACTGTGTAAGATCACATTTGTAATCATGAAATAGCAGAATCGGTGAGGTAGGATCGCACAATTTGAGTGAGCATGGAACAGTTATGTTTTTGTCCATATTAAAAATGGGCTTTGGTTTAAAACCCAAACCCAATGGTATAAAAACCTAAAAGAAATAAAAAGTCATATTTTATGATCTTTCATCTATGTAAATGACCCACACATAATACAGTTTCAATATTCTTGATTCCTATAATGTTCAAGGGAAAAAGGCTGACCCTCAGACAGGAAGTGAACCTTACATAACATAAAATGAACATAGACAAGCAATGTGATACACTGGTAGCTAATGGCGCACCAAACTGCAAATAATTGGACCAAGACCCAATTGAGTGGCTTGGAAGGCTTGAGGCTTCCAAGCTAGTGAATAAACAACACATACTGTAACTTAGATTTGATTTAAAATACATGACAGGAGAAAAGCTCTTTCCGTGAATTTGGAATCACCTCCCCCAAACCATGCCCCTGCAGTATTTAATTTCTAGGACGAGGATATGACAAACATCTATTAATCCACAACAATGCCAACAGAAAGAAAACCAGATATCTACCAAACAATGTCCACCCTTCACACTTCAATTCACATCATTGACCCCAAAAACATTGTAATATAGATAAACGGCCAATAGAACTTACTTTCTTCTTGTTAAAGTTCATCTTCTCAACAAATTCCCGATACAACATGTCATCCTCCTTCTTGGAGATCTCGTAATGCACTTCATCCACGTCTTTGGTAATGCCATCCCACCCCTCCGGCATAACCTTGAAGTCCGGCTTGTACGGAAGAGATGCAACATGAAACTCCCTATCATGGGAATTAAAAAACCTGCAACCACCAACAAAATAAACACATCAATTCACAATGAGCACAGCGCACAAATCCTAAACCCTAAGAAATCAAAACACCTACTCGGGGAAAGTATCGAGCAAGAGCTCGACGGAATCATCGAGAGGGTGACCGAGTTTCTTCTCCTCCTCTTCCTCGATCTCCTTGAGCCACAGGATGGCGTGAACCCTCTGCCGCATGATCCTGTAATCCTTAGCGAGCTTCTCCACAGTGTAAACCTCAGGGTTCTGCTTATGCAACCGGTACATCTCCGCCTTCTCGGAGTCTTTGAGATACGAGCCTCGCGCGCCGGGCTCCTGAATCTGCTTCATCAGCACGCTCGTCTCCTCCAAGCGCCGGTGCCAGCTGTCCACGTATGCCTTCCCTCTATTATTCTCCGCCTCCAGTTCGCGCACCTTATCCTCCGTGTCCTGCAGCTCCGCCAGAACCGCCGAGGGGGAGTGCGAGGGTTCTCCGTTGAAGTGGTCGCCAGCGATACCCGTCGACCACGACGATGTGGTGTCCCATCCCGCGTCGAAGGCGTCTCCTCCTCCATCGCGCGACTCGGTCGAGAAAAAAAAGATTCTGGAAGATGCTGGGAGAAGAAGGTTGTCCTGACGCAACGATGCAGCGACCCGGCGCGTGACGGATGCAAAACGGTGAAGGGCTTGCATTGTGAGCGTGCAGCGGCGGCTAGTGAAGTTCAGTGAGGGAGAAGAGAACGAAGGAAATATTAGTTGGTTTTATTTTATTTTATTTTTAATTAGTTCTGGTGCATGTTAGGGAAAATCTCTAATTTGTTTTGAAAGCATATTACCTTAATCTTTAACGTATTTAAATTATTTAATTTTAAGTTATATTAAAAAAATTAATTTTAAATATTGATTATGTCATTTAAAAAGGAAAAGGACATTATTCTTTCATTCTATAAAACAATAATTTCAAATATTATAATTTCTCACTAATATATTACTAAATCCAATGAAAACATCCTACGCTATTAATAAAAATTTATTATTATTATTGTTGCATTAGCCAACAATATTGAATGTAATATTTATTTATTTATGTAATATTGAATGTCATTAACTAGAACATGATTATTAATAAAAATAAAAATTATTATTATTATTATTGTTGCATTAGCCAACAAATATTTTAAATTTTTTTACACTATTTAGTTAAATAGCTTTTAGTATTTTCATATGTAAGCATTAATTAATTGATATATTCACGCTAAATTCATTCATGTGTTATGGATGAATTGTTTGAAGAAAATGTGGAAGAATCCCTTCTCACCATTCTTACTTCAACAAGTGTCCATCAAAGCACAACATGAATACCTCCAAATAATAAAGATAACACATAATAGAAAATGTGTAAAATAGATACAGTGATTTTGATTTTTTTCTCAATAAAATTATCATGATAAATCAATAAAACCTAGAGTGATTTTTCCAGTTTACCTACTATGATCACCACAAAATAAATATAATGTTTTAATTAATATACGAAAGTGCATATTATTATTCATTTATAAGTTGATAACTACAAGTATTATTTATATATATATATATATATATATATATATATATATATATGAAGAAATAGACCATCATAATAAGTTAAGTTTTGAATTTTCCTGTTAAATAATCATGTGTTATGATATGAATGTCTAATTCTTAGATAAATACAGTTCTTTTATCATTTTTTCTCATATACTCGTAATTATATTTAAGTAATATCTTTGATTTCATTTGTTTGAGCTTGTGTTTTATAAATTGTTTCACTACAAAATAAGAAATAATCTTTCAAATGTATAAATGGTTGAGAATTCACATATTCGTCATTTTTGGTAAAATCAAATCCCCTATGAAGATATTCATAAACTACTCTACCATAATTCTTAGTGAATAACTTCAATTTAAGTTTAATAATACATACTAACAGTGGACGACCATACTTATTCAATTTATTTCTCTCAACTTAATTGTCATGAGACAGAACTTGAAAAATTTTAATATAAAAAAAATGGAATTCACAAATCCTTAGGATACACAGTGCCTTGAACCCAAATATATTACTAATAATAGAAGTAAACAGGTTAGTAACAAAACTTTTTTAAAAAAGGTATAAGGGATAAGTTACATAAGCAATATATTGATTTTCTTCCCAAATAACAGGTTCAATGTGATAGCATCGTCCTTTATAACAATCAAGACTGGTAAGTCCATCGATCCACACAGTCCATGTACTAATCGAAGATTCAGCAACTACCGTAACACTTGCTTATTCAGGTGGAACTCTAGGTTTAAGAGTTACTCAATGTTGTTAAGATATCAATATCTTTGGTTTCATAATCAAGACTATAATAAGTCAATTTATAATCTTTAACACCAATTTTCCTGACACTTGCTTTAGTCTCTGTGGTGACATAAATCCCTTCCTACAACTCATGAATTAAGAATTCTTGAAACCATAAAGTCTATTCAACATGACTTAGAAATTAATAAAATCTTGTACAATAATCAACTAATATTATCAATGAATCACAAAGATTGGTTATTTTTAAATAAAACGATGGTATTTGATTTGTCAAATACATCATTATTATATATTATTTTCTATGTATGACACAACCTAATCTTTGTTTTTTTTTTTCAAATTGGAATATTCTATCCTTACAGTGATATATGTTGTATATGTAAATCCTATCGATTTCTTTCCAGAAAAGAAAAAAGATGTAATGATCAAGACTAATAAGTCTATCGGTTCACAGAGTTATTCATATTCTAGTAGAAGATTCTACCGCGACACCTGCTTCTTTAGGTGGAACTCTAGGTTGAGGAATTACTCGAAGTGTTGTTAAAATATCAATATCTTTGGTTTTATAGTCGGGAGTATAACAAGTCAATTTATAATATTTAATATCAACTTTGAACATGAGACTTGTTTTAGTCTCTGTGATGACATAAATCTCTCCCTACAACTTATAAATTAAGAATTCTTAAAATAATAAGTTTTACTCAACATGATTTAGAAGTTAATGAAATATTTTATAATGATCAACTAATATTATCGATGAATCTCAAAGGTTCGTTATTTTTTAATTAAACGATAGTATTTGATTTGTCAAATACATCATTATTGTATACTTTTTTTCTATGTACGACGCAACCCAATTTTTGTTTTTTTTTTTTCAAATTTTAACTCATAAGTCATGTTGAATAGACCTTATTATTTCAAGATTTCTTAATTTATGAGTTGTAAGGAGAAATTTATGTCACTATAAAGACTAAAGCAAATGTCAAGTTCAAAAATGGTATTAAAGATTATAAATTGACTTATTATACTCCTAATTACGAAACCAAAGACATTGATATCTTGACAACATTCTGAGTAACTCCTCACCCTAGAGTTCCACCTGAAGAAGCACGTACCGCAATCTTCGACTAGTATATGGACAACTGAGTAAACCGATAAGCAACATTTCAAATAATTCATTTTTGTTTATTGGCTTTTATATTTCATCATTTCATAATTTTTTACATTTTCTTTTTACCTCTTTTTTCTTTTCTGGGGAGAAATCTGCCTATTTTTATATTTAGAATTTATATAAACAACATATATCACTGTAAGGACAAGAGATTCCAATTTGAAAAAAATAAAATTGGGTTGCAGATCGTATATAAAAACGAGTATACAATAATGATGTATTTAGGAGTTAATGAAATATTTTACAATAATCAATTAATATTATCAATGAATCTCAAATGTTTGTAATTTTAAAATTAAATAATAATATTTAATTTATCAAATACATCATTATTGTATATTGTTTTTCACAATCCAATCTTTATTTCTATTTTTTTCAAATTGAAATCTCCCTGTACTTACAAATATATATGTTGTATATATAAATATTAGATGGAAAAATAAAAAGATTTCTCCCCAGAAAAAAAAGAGATAAAAAAAATAGTATAAAAAATCATGTAATGACGAAGTACCAAAGCCAATTAACAAAAATAAGTATAAATTAAGGTACAGATTCAAGTTTGATAAGAAGTAATTGCTAAATTGTTTATATCCAATCTTGTGTTAATATTTTTTAGAGTTAATATTGCTCATAGTTTTAACTATATATATATATATATATATATATATATATATATATAATAATAATAATAATAATATAATTTTATATTTAATTTAAAAATTTAAAATAATAAATTGATAGATTTTTGTACTTATATATTATTCAATTTTATTACAAAAACTTCAACTCATATACTTTAATTTTAATCAAGCTTCCTCCAATATAAATTCCTATACATACGAATATTCTTCCATCAAAAACAAATATTTCCTAACTACATATCTTTAATAATAATATTTAATAGAGATACATATATTTAATGAACCCTTATTAATTCTCTCATTTATACCCTCATTTTTACTCTATTTCACTGAACTATTTATTATTTATGAATAAAAAATATATTTTTTTAAGAGTGATATTAAATCCTGGTTAATCATTTTCTAATAAAATCAACCTAGTAAAAAAATGTTATTATTATTACTTTAATAAAGTGGGTATAATTATTTATAAAGAAAATACTTTTTTAATATTTATTTTATGTCCCAGTATTTAATTTTTGCTTTTAAGTGAAAAACAATATTTAAGATATAGAGTTTAGGTTATTAATACAAATTTATTAAATAAAAATTTATATAGATATATTTTCTATTGATGAGTTTCACTTATGATAATTTATATTATAAAAAAAATCTGATTCTTTTATAAGATTTAATTAATAAATGTATGAGAGTTGAAGTGCCAACATTTTGTCATCTGGTGAGTTTATTTATTCTTTTTCCCTTTTTTTATTAATTTATTTATTTTAGCTTATTATTATATTGACTTTATTCATTAATTATAATATGATAGAATATTATACATTTAATTACTAACAATATAGGATTTCTAGTCATGCTAAATTATTGTCTTTTTGTAATAAACATTTTATAAATTATATCAATATTATTTTAGCTAATTGATAATGAAAAAGAATCTATTTGCATCACATGAAAATTAAGCTCATCAAAAATGTAAATTGATGAGTATACGTTCAAGCATTAAGAATTTCTTTTTCTTTTTCTTTTTTTATTTGGAGATCTTGTGTTTAAATTTTTAAAAATGTGAAATAAACAGATGTGAACCTGTTGTCTGAGAATAATTTTTAATTTAAATGAGAAAAATAATTAACGAAACTGTGATTATTATTAAAAGCTTGAAATGATCGTATAAAGAAACAAAAGAACATGTATTCATAGAGTCGAATTTCATAGCAGAAAACAATGTAATACTATCCAAAATCTGAATTATTTAATTAAGAAACGCATTACTAGTGTTTTTTTTTGTTTTTTATTTTTATTTTTATTTTACAGATATCATGTTATAAGTCTCTATCATTAATATTTTTGAAACACAACCCATAGTTACATTTTGATGAAATATATCTAAAGGTTTAAAAATAAATAACATAAAGGGTATTTCAATATATACAAAATTGACCTAAAAAGGAGTCATATAAATTAAGATTTAAGTATACAAATCCATTATTTAAATTTATTTTATAAAGTTTTACAATTTAAGTTAATGTTAAGCTAAGATTGAATAAGACTATTTAAAATAGCTATTATTCAAACTGTGTTTTAACACCAAGTGGACAATTATCTGAAGCATAATATTGATAATTTTTTTGACACCTATGATTGTGGCATGTTTTTATATAATATGTTGTTTATTAGTGATATTAAATTTAACCTTGTGAACAGAAAAGATGAGGATGAAGTTTGCGTAGTGCAAAATATTGGTGATGCAGATGCAGCCAAAAGTAGCCCACCGTTTGAGCCTATCCCACAGAAGCTGGTCCCAGTAAGGTGACCAAAACTATTCCAATGTTCCATCACTCATCATATCAATAATTAAACCCCTCTGCATGACTCATACTTAGGTAACTAACATCTCTGACCATTTCTTGTTTAACATATATGTATATATTCTACACCTACCTTACATGCTCCTTCACGTGCTGGTTGGTGACTCTTGTGATCAACTCAAGATTTCAAGTGAAGCTTTTAAGAGAAAACAAAGCTAAGAACTATGCAAAACCGGTACTAACTTGTTAAATTAGAACTTGATGAATGTGTGTATATATAGAGAGAGACATAGAAGAGCGTGAAGAATTTTGTTTTTTAAAGAGAAGATATATTCTTTACAGAAAACAGTTTTGCTTTAAGCTGATAATATAGACTATATTGTAAACAATAATGCTCTCTTCACTATGACTCAAAGAAAGATCATTGGAAGTAACTTATTACTGGTACACAAACTGATTACATAAATCTATGAACCTGCAATCAAATCCAATCTGCCAGCTGGTCCAAGATCGTTAACCAATTCCACAGGTGCGATCTGTTTAACTGTTCATGAATACTCATGAAGTTTTGACTTTCGAAAGTTTGATATGTTATTGTGTGCACAAACAATGAAACTCGAGCTAATTATTTGGTTTCCGAACCCATAGGCTCTTAAATCAGACGTTTGGTCATAAGCTAGTTAAAAACAGATACAATAAAAACAGTGGCAGGAATAGAAACTTTGTTCGTAACGAGGAAAATACTACCTGCCACAATAAAACAAAAAAAAATATATATATAACAAGAACAGCATCAAGAAATTGTTCTACAAGACAACAGTGTTCAACCATGAGAACTCGCCTCGCCTTTGAAAAAGAATAGAGGGAGAGAGAAGAGGGAGAATAAATTAAACTGAACTATTTGGAAACTAATGCATAAAGGCTTTATGAATATTGTTTATATAAAAGCATGCATACATATGAACTGAATAAAACTAATAAAGTCCACTTTGTTGTCTGATATTAACTGGGTTCAAACTGATATTTGTTATCTATAATTCATTTATAAAAGGTATCATTGGGGAAGGTATTCATAGTTAGATCAGACAAACTAAAATCATTATCCAAGAGTAAACCGTCAGAGACATCCAGGCTAGTGCTAACTGAGTTACCCGAACTTGGAAGATAACCACTGTTCTTCTCATAATCAAACGAGTAACCGCTCTGTTGTTGTTGCAACAACTGCTGTTGAGGCAGTTGTTGTTCCTCTCGCTTCTGCCAAGGAAGTGGTGCAGGCACTTGATGAACCTGGTTGTTGTTGCTGTTGTAGCTTCTGCCACTAAATGGTAGAACTACTCTACTTGTGTTATGGTGAATCTTCTGTTCACTACTTCCTTGTTGGAAGTTCAAGGTAATAGGACCCTTATGGACCCCTAGTGTTGACATGGCTGTGCTAGGACACCCTGTGAACTGTTGTACTAATGCTCTAAAATTGGTGGTGTTGGCATTGAGAAGTGTGGTGGGGGTTTTCTTAGAAGCTCTAGACCTTCTTCTTATTGGTTTGGATACATTACCCTTCGGGGTCAATTGAGTCGAGATGCTATTGCTCTCTGATGAGGGCATGGCGGGAGGGGGACTAGTTGTCATCACAGTTGCATCAGAGAAACCATCTGTATTTGGTGTCAAAGAATGATCATGATCATGATCATGGCCATGACCATCCATTAGAGGCTGTTGATAGAACTGCATCCATTGATCAGCAGTGGCAGTCATGGTCATGGTATCCCTCATGTGTGTAAGGAAGTAGGTGGTAAAAGGTGAGGATCAGTGATCACTCCCTCACTCTATGACATATTCTTTCATTTAAAGAAAAGAATGAAAGCTGGCTCTATTATGAACACATGTGCCTTGTAATGGTCAAAGTAAAAATGTCCAAGTTTTGACTATTCTTTGATAGGGACTGCCAAGAAACTTGCTACCAAAGAATGGTGTGCTTCCACGAAATATCGTGTTCATATTATTATTATCATCATTTTGACATAAAACACAAATATCTGCAATGAAACTTTTTGTCAAATAAACATAAAACTGGTGATTATAAATCAAAACATTTTCCCTTAGTGTGTTCAGACTAGTGACGACATGAAAATGGGATTGGCATCACTTTTGGACTGGTTGTTTGTGATGTTGGAGGTTTTGAGGTGGTGTTGGTGATGTTGGTCAGAAAAATGTGTTGTGTAAAGTTGAAAACGATAAGATGAACGTGGTCTAAGCCACCCACCCACCATACCTTGTTGATCTAAGTTTGCTGTTTTTATTCTGTAGATGAGCGTATGAGACACTAGTTGTGACAGTAGCACTCAACACCCAGAGCCCACGTGTTTTTACTAGAGACAAAGTCTTTGTCAAACTGATGTACACGGAGAAGGAAATTACCATATAATACCGACACTAGTATGAACAAAAGTCTATGTTGACCATAATTAAGTGAAGGGACACACACACTTTGGGATTTAAAACATATGGGATTAAGAGTATGTAAAATTGAATTGAATACTGATTTTATCAAATTAAACTAAATTGTTATCTGTTTTGATGAATTGAATTGAATAAATTTTTCATTAAAATTTTAATTAACTTGCTCTTTTCGTACATAAAATTACAAAATATGATATCACAATCCGTGTAAGACTTAAGCAAAAAAGAAAAAGAGTTCCCAAACAAAAAAGAAGAAATGAATTTAGATATAGCATCTAAAACTCAAGAAAAAGATAAATAAAACATATAAATGAAAACCAAACATGAGAACTTGTTGAAGAGTTTGTGTGGATGTAAGTGAGAACAAAATTTAAAAACTTGTTTGTTAAAAAGATAAAACTTATTTTAGTAGAACAGTTATTTTTCGAAGGAAGTAGAAAACGTCTTAAAATCTATGAATTTTGTTTTTTTCTTTTAGGTTTGTATATCCAAATAGACTTTAATTAAGTCAATTGTATTTGAAGGAAAGTTCGAAAACAAGTCCCCATTGGTAGTTGGAAACAAATAAAATAGTATGTAAGTAATGAGCCATGAGTTCAAATGGCAAGATGTCTTTGAACAATTAGATTATTCCTATATTATGGGACATGAGTCTTTAATAAGATTTCAATGTGATATAAGAACTTGTAACTAAAACCCCAAATTAACAATGAATTATAGAGGAATAATAAAATGAAAAAAGGGGTTGGACAATAATATATATGATGTTTTGAATTTGAAGATCAAGTCTCATATTCATGGATTAGGGTAAAAAAAAATTATATATATAAATGTAAAAAGTCAAAAGGTATATTTGGATATACGTGTCATTTAAGTTCAAAGCTAACTATTTCACTTTCTCATAAAAATAATATTATTTTTTCTTAATTAATTTAAAACCGTTAACAATTTTATAAGGTTAACAACATTAAGAAAAATATACACAATAAATTCAATTTATTTTATATTAAGTGATGAACCAACTATATAAATGATGGTCAATAAAGTTGTAAAAACTAGTTCTCTAGTCTAATCTAATTTAATTTCATGAGTTAAGTAAACAAATTTAAAGGCTTCATTATATTTTTAAATGGATCATAAATTTTAAGTTAGGTTAATGATTCAATTTTTATCTAATTCAAAATTTTATAAATTATTAACATAACTATATAAAAATAACTAATTAAAAAGTATTTAAATACAAAATAAAAATATATTTATAAATTTTAAATTATATTAATAAAATTATTTTTTATTTCAAATATAATGATTTAATATATAAATTATAATAGGAAAGATCCATTTATTTCAAAAATAAAAGTTAAAAAAAATCATTATCACCATTATTTTTTTTAATAATTTATTAATTTAAAAAAATAATTCATCTTATTGCATAATAAATGAATATTGAATATTTCCTTTTATATTTATTTTTAGAATAAATAAATATTTTATTAAATTAATTTATAATACTTATATAATTTTAATAAAACATTATTATTATTTAAAAATTATTAATACTCTATTAAATGGATTTGCCCATAAATTTACGAGTTATCCTAACCTAAGCATACATGTACATAAGTCATAACCTAAACAAACCCGATTAAAATCAACCTGATTTAATTTAGGTTATTATAATTTTTTTATATTATTCAAACTTTTTTAACTTATTCGTTGGATTAAACCTATTTTGATAATTAATCTTAATAATTAATCATTATGAGAATAAAAAACAATAAGATAAATTCAACATAATAAGTAAATAAAAACACAATTTAAAATCAATAATATAAAATGTGAGAAAATTTTCATTAGCCAAGAATTTAGTAAGAAGCATATCAAACAAATTCAAAACAAAAACTAAAACCCTGTAAAATATAATAAAAAGAAAGCAAAATATTAACAAAGAATGTCGATATATTTTGTAATTTCTTTCTTCGTATGTTAAAATATATAAAAAAAAACCAAAATATTTATTTTATTTTGATTTCATGTAGTTTAATCCAAATTTGATATGAGTTACTATTTATAAAATGAATAGTTTTTAAAGATTAATTGAGATGAAACTGAAATTAAAGTATATATTTGTAAAAACAGTCAAAAGAAGGATTTGAACAAAATTACAGTTTTTATGATAAATTTAATAACTAATTAAAATAAAAATAAATTCACGATATTATTTATAAAAAATAGAATCAGATACTTTTGTTTTCATTCTTAAATCTAGAAATTATTTTATCATCTCATCGATTTGTTGAAATGGATAATTTCTCTGTTAAAAGTGTAATCAAACAAATAATTTTTCCACCAATATCAATACATCCAATTGAATAAATTTATTTAAATTTTGAAGTGTATTTAATGATATGTAAACAATTTTATGTCACTTATAAAAAATTAAAATGCTAAAAAATTCAGAAAATCAAGCATCGGTCAAACCAAACACACATAATAATTATTTAATTAGCAATCAATTGCAAACATTAATCATATAATTAAAGTCTTTCAACCTTACTGTACTGACTTTTAATTGCGGCTAATTTCCTTCCAAAATCCAACATAAGAAATTTGAAAAAAAAATGGTCATTAAAATATATAGGTTATATTGTTATTTTTTTACCGTATTTATATAATTTTATTTTTTATTTATTAAAAAATAATTTTTAAATTAACATCAATTTAATTCCTTATATCTATTGACAGAAAAAAAAATGAATACTAATATAATAATTGAAAAACTTCATCAAAACTTGAACAATATAAGAATAAATTATATAAATAAAATAAAAGAAAGAATTTAATATTAAAACATTTTGGTTGAAAAGGGTAACTTTATTCTAAGTAGAAGATTTGCCGACATGAGTATAACTCTTGACAAGCATGCATGAAACATGTTCTCACTTTGTATTAATTTCAAATGAACTTAATCATTAATTAATAACATCATCAACTTGTTAATTAGTGTTAATGTAACATGTAAAAATGTGTGATAATTAATTATAGTTGAGTAACTAAACAACTTTAAATAAATTTAGCTTATATCAATCTTAATTGTCATTATAAATAAGTTAATATCCTAATTAATAAATAACTCAGTATTTGAACCGTACACGTATTTTCTTCTCATTTGAATAGAAAAATAAATTTTACATTTTATTATATAAGCTACCTTGTCATGCACGTGTTTTCTTCTCATTTAAATAGATACATTTTCTAACATTATTATTAATTTGCAACATATCATAGAGTTTTTTTTTTGTTAATTATCATAAAATAGTTTTTTTAATATATATTTTGATTATATATTTATGTAATATATATAAATTTAAAATTACAAAGTAAACTTATTCATATTTTCACAAATTATTTTGGGTTTCAAGAGAAAGCATTAAAAATGATTCTCTCATTATATCAGTGTTTATTTGTAGAGATAACACGTGGCAAATAATGAGATTTTTTTTTCTTGGTATGAATTTATTAATTTTCTCCATCTTATTATTTAATCTTTTAAACGATAACGATGCAATATAATAGTTGAAACACCAGATTAAAGAAATTCTATTGATATAATACGCGCCAAGAACATGGCGCAAGAGAGTGGCACAACGAAATTGGTATGAAATAATTGCAGTGAGCAGAAAGAGACATAAATATTTCATATTTTTCAGTGATGAATGATTTTGTGAATATTGCTTCCATCAATTTTTATATTCTTCTGCTCTGCTTACATTTGACTAAGTAAAACATCAATAAATGGCCAAAAAACTCAAGTGATTTTTAAAAAAGTTATTCTTTCGTTTTTGTAAGTGATTTTAGAAATCTTTATCCAAACCCTAAACATCATTGTATTACACAAAGTCAAAAGTTACGTGAAATGAAAAGGAAAGAAAAAGAAACCGATTCTAATGATGGATCACGCAAACTGGTCTTGTAGATCTAACTGAGTTAATTTCTTTTGTTGAAAAAGAAAAACAATATATTTAAACAAAAACTTGACCTACTTTACGATGTAGGGTAATATTCTTAGTGTGTGAAGTGATGGAGTGAACGAAAGATTAAGTTGTGTAAGAAGCAAAATGCGTAGCTTCATGAAGGATTTGTTGAGGCAAATGTATGGTCAAACCTAATTTTCCGTACACAGAAAAAGAGGTAGGTTGAGGAAGGGAAATGTGACTTGGTGTGTGTGATGCAATTTACATGAGTTTCTTTCTTCACTCATCTCCGTTATTGACTCTTTACTTGTTCAATTCAACGCACGCCACAAAAAATAA